ATGATATGTCTAGCATTACATTCTAATATAACCTGAAAAGGGAGACAGAAGGGAGAGGAAGACATAAAAAGAGATCAGATGGAGAAGGAAAATACAAATTTGTTGGTTTCAGCATGGCCTCTGTCAGACAGTGTTCAGATGGCAGGTGCACAGCTGACCTTTGAGTAGTAATCCTTTTTATTTATTGCAAAAAGGGGAGTTCTGCATATGTGTCTGTAGTTTGTATGTACGATGGGAGTAGGTGAGATTCAGCATTTGCACACGTGTGGAAGGGAGAATGGTGGCACCAACCCTTTCTTCCAATGGATTGGGTCATAGAGACTGTCCCTTACCAGGTTGGTAATTGCAGGGATGGCTGTCCATCCTCCAAGGTGCTCCACACCCTGTTCAGCAAACACTTGGAGTTCCCTGTTCCAACCGCAAACCAAGTACTCCATTTCCATTCCTTCTTTGCACATAAGCAGTGCTCCAGTACTTGAGACACTGAAAAACAGTGCTGGAGTTTTTCCACGGCACTTTGCAGTACATCATGGAAGGTTTTTTTATCTTAAGAAAATTTATTTTTTACAGAAGTTGAGTTACTTATTAAGCTCCCTTTGTGAAGAGGAAAATTATTTTTGATTTGTAAATGGTTTCATTAAAAAGGTCATGTATTGGTTAGAGACTTTGGTCGCTACAGCAGTGGTAGCACTTTGCTTGTTTCTGCAAATGAAAGTTAACATATGTTGAAGTTTTCCATTCTATTCTGACTGAAGTCCATCTTCAGGAAAGCTCTGAAATGACGTATGTTCCAGGTGGGATGCAGCTGCTGGGGAGCGTTTGTGTCAAGTGCTGGTTGTGAGGGTACTTAAAACATAAGGGCTTGGGTAGCTTTGGTGTTTGTTACAGTTCCGAGGAAAGGGAAAAGAAATAGCACTGCTTCCCTTTGTGATCACAGGGAGCGTGTAACTTCACTTTGGCAGAAGGAGTTGCTTTTTGATTTCTGAAGGATTTAACTTCAGCATAACATAGAGCATGTTGCAAAGCTTTTTATTATGAGAAGTCTTTTGCTGTCTTATTACAGCACGAAGCATTTTAAAACTATTCTTTGCATGACTCAGCTTAGCTTTCCACCTGCTCACGAGACCTGAAACAGGTGCGCAGCATGGTTGGATCTTTAGTAAGTTGTTACTCTTGAAAACTTGTTTCTGGGTGTCTGAAGCTTTTTAAAGAGTACCTTGCCTAACTGAGAAAAATGGCCCAAAGCAATGTAACGGATACATTCCTAGTATTTTCCTACTGCAGAAAAGTGGAAGACAAGTTGTTGAATAGTCTTGGGATTAGAGAGCACAGAAGTCTGCATGTTCTGCAGCATACTAGCTCCTTTGTTTTGATGAAGTTTTAGAGTTACTTGTCATATTCTAGCTTGAATTTCTTTCAAAATTAAAGCTTCAGTTTAACTGACACCAGTTAATTCTGAAGTTTTTCTTTAAAGCTGGTATCTGGAATTGGAAATCATATACTGGCAGTCTGGTAATTACAAGAATTGTTTAAAGTCGGTATGTTCATCAGTCTGATAAAACAACTGGACCCAGGCTAATGGTGGTTTGTTTATTGTAGCTCTTTTGCACAAGGAGGTGTTTGTGCTTCCTTGTGGGGCGGTGTGCCCACACAGGTTAGAGAAACACAGGCATGGGCAACTTTCTTCACCCTCAGCATTCTTCATGCTGGCTGCTGAAGCTTTGCATTTATTTTGTCTCTTATTTAGAATCAATGCAGACATGCTTAAATCACAAATTTTGTGAATGTTAAAGGCACCTGAGGAGCCTCTGTAAAACCAAGTAAGAATTGGCTTGTATTTGGAGACCGAGAGGAAATTAGAATTAAGTTTTGTTATTGGACTGCATTTGTCAAAGGCAGCATTTGCCTGCAGTACTCAGAGTAAATTTTAATGCATTTATCTGCCATGTATCATTACCTGAATTTTAAAGAGAGATGGCAGTATCATCTTGTGCATGTTGCTACTGAGTGCAAGTGATGAGCCTGTGAGTATTAATTTATTTAGTCATTTTCTGTATCGCTTATTGAGGTGTGTGGAGGTGAGACATCAGTCACTTGGAAAGGAACAGGAGCGCTGAGAAATTTATTGTATTAATTTAAAGAAGACCTCACAACAATAAATACATGGAAAGGTAGATTTGTACTTTTGCTCCTGAAATTGTGGTGTTAGAATAATAACTTTTTTCCTTGTGAAAATGTAACTATCTGCTGTATATTACTGAGGCAAAGCTTGAGAAGGCTGAAGCGTAAACTAAAGAATGTCTGTTTCTCTGTAAGTAGGAGGTTGGGGAAGGAAGGCTTTGAAGCTCAGTTTGGAGCCAGGAACAATGGAGCAAATGTGTACAGAACAACATTCCGTGTGAAAAATAACAAATAGAAAATGGAGAGGGGAAGGAAGAAAAAATAAAAAATGAAAAAATAAAAAATAAAAAAAAAGAGAAAAGAAAAAGCTTTGTGCAACCCTGAAAGAGAAAGTGATGCCTGACATACCATTGATTTGTGGGCGCCCAGACTTCAGAACACAGTGCTAGATACTGCTGTGCTGTGCTGTGCTGTGCTGAGTAGGTGCTGTGATATTTAAGCAATTCTTGTATTTCTGCATGTGGAAAAAGTAAGGATTCCAGGCTCAACCTGGAATTGGAAATCATTCTGCTTGTGTTCTGCATTCTAATTTTATGTTGTTAGTGTAAGATTCTGTTTTTGTGCTGTAGCATTCAGCAGAGACTATTCAGAGTTTGTATCAGCTTAATCTTTTCGCTTTTCATAAGTGAAGTACAAATGAACTTTGGTATCTTTTTGTGGAAGGCCATGTGCTCAGCTAGTCAAAGTGAGGCGGGTGCATTTGGTGCACTCTGTCACCTTGTGACTTCTCTGATCACAAAAAGGATGGGACTGATGACCTTCAGCAAAAAGGCAATTTTCCAAAACACTTGACATGTTTTGGAATGTGCTGCAGCAAAGGGGTCGTGTGGGGAAGAGCTCATGGAGATTTTTACTGAACACTGACAGTTGTAAATGCTGCTTCTAGAAATAAATTGACAGCGTATTGATTTTTGCATAACCACTGGAGTTGGTGCTTGCCCTTGGGTGATGCGATCCCCAAAGTAGTTCCTGTGATGGTAATGAATAGCTGATCTTCAAGAACAGTTGCTTCTTTGGATCAGCTCTTTGGGGAGCTGATGATGCAGAGGCATACTGTGAGCCTGTTTCAGACCCAGTGGATGTTTGCATGCTGGTATTCTGAATATCAAAACGTGCAATTGCTCTGAATTTTCGTAACATTCTGCATTGTTTGATATGTTTAATTCCTTCCAGCTTAATGTTTAGTATATTAAGAAACATATATGACTTGTCATATATAATCTGACTTAGAAATCAGATCCACCGAAGTGACTTGCTCTTGAAAATGGTAGATTGCAGGTATCTAAATAATTCCTCATGATTGTACATTTAAAATGTTCAAACTATTTAAAAATGTTTTCATCAAACAAAAATAATCCTGTATGTGCTACCTGTACTTCAGGGTGGTTTGCTCTCCTGTTGTAATCTTTTTGTCCTCCACGTTATGTTCTACTGCTTCAACTTTATGTTTTTTGTTCCTTTGATCACAATGGATCAGTTAATGAATCAGTTTCTCTTAATTCTCTACACAAAGTCTGTGTTTACTTTTGGCAAGTAGATGCAATGTTTTTCAGGTGTGGTAGTTCACTGATGGCATCTGATTTGGGAGTGCAGTAAATCTTCTTGTGAAGAGTGTCTGTGGAGGATGTGCATACAGGGGATGGGGCCCAGGGGGTTGTTGAGATATGAAAATATGCTTCTCATTAAATGAGTGCTCTGCTTTCCATTTACTGTGTGTGTTTCTATGATGTGGGCTCTGTTAACTGTTAAGAACATGAATCCTGGATGGAAACTGTGTATCAATTAGAGAGAGTTGACCAAAATCTGAACTGTCTTGAAGTCGATAATATGTATAGTGGCTCCTTGCCTGGAGGAAAACAGTAGCCTGTTAGCTTTCTCCTTGATCCTGCTCTTGTGATTACCAGCCAGCCGGTGGGCTGTTTGGTGGGCATCTGAGCAAATCTCAGCAGTCTATCTGACAGGTGTCTGGGCAGCACAAGAAGTTTTCTATCGTGTTATTGACCTACTAATGCTAACCTTGGTGTGAAAAATACTGTGTTGAAGTAAAAATACCTGGTGTTTAGTGGAAATACAAGGCTGATAGCATCATCCTTTATGTGCACGTTTCCAGATCTGCAAACAGCTCTCAAATGCTAGTGCCTGTGGTCAGTTCTGTATCTCTCTTCCACCATGAGGATGGGAGGACAAGAATGGTTTTCCACTTCTGTCATTCATTCTTAAGTAAATCAGAAATAATATCTTAGAAGGAAATATTCAAAATAGACTGAACAAAACTTTAACAGAACTCTCCCACGTGATGGAACATTCCACGTTATACAAATGTTGTATTTCTGGATGGTATGATTTGCTATTAATTCTACTTGATGATCTGGCATGTGGAATGTATATCTTTTGAGCAAGTACTTCAGTGTGCCATGGGAGCAGAGTGCAAATGAATGTATGGTTCTTTTAGGGAAAGAGAAGGAAGATGTGAAGCTGTTGAACTTGGTGTGCTTGGGTGTGAAGCACGTCTCATGCATAGCATTCCTACCGACAGTGATGTAGTTTGCATTGTGGAGTAATTTTGGTTGAAATGAAAGTGGAAGGAGTCCACCTCTGCACTGCAACTGCAAGTATTTATTTGGTCTGTGGAACCAGAGTAGAATGAATCTGAAGTATACACGGAACTGAAAAAGATAGCTAAAATGCATGTGGAGTGAAAATTGGGTTCTCATTGCCAGCTGTTGTGCTCCAATATATCGCACCTCATAGTGTGGTTGTAACCTTAGTAAATTCTTAGGCATGCTAACCTGCTAACCTTTACTTCTTTCTCTTTTCAGGCCAGTATGGAAACCCTCTAAATAAATACATTAGACATTATGAAGGATTATCTTACGATGTGGATTTGTTACACCAAAAACACCAGCGTGCCAAAAGAGCAGTATCGCATGAAGATCAGTTCTTGCGCCTCGACTTTCATGCTCATGGGAGGTTAGTGATGTTTCTAAAAGGTATTTGCTTTAAACATTTTAGTCTTATGTTTGCTTTTTTTTTAATTATGGTGATATATAAATGCTGAAATACAGTTATTCGTGTCTGAGAGAATATACTAAAATGCAATATTGGCAGTTTATAGCAAGTGTTTGCTCTGGTGTCCAGTGTAAATGTCAAATTGCTGGTTGTAATCAGTCGTTCAAACCTGTGCTTGTAACTGTTGACGGACTTCAAAGATTCAGTAAGCAGAACTGGGAACAGAATTTCATCAGATTCTGACTTTATTGTGCAGCCATGGCATATTTGTTTACAAAAACTGTGCTGAACTTTGAGCGGATTTGGTTTACTTGAGGAAATGCACAGTTTCAAATTGCATTCCAAACCACAGATTTGGCCATGGAGTGTTCTGTTTCATGTGTAGTGAAATGGCGTTTTTCTGTGTAGCTTAGCAATTATTTGACATGGAGAAAACGTAATTGCTGTTACAAGATTGCTTAGCCATACATTTAATTTCTGATTTGAACTACTTCAAATAGTGAAGTTAGATAGTCAGTGTGAGTAGTGGAAGTATTATTTGTGGATTTCATTTAGAAAGTGTTGCTTCCTACTTTTTTTTTTATAATTGAGAAGAAAGAGTAAGTTAAACTATTTCTGTCTTTGCTTTTCTGCTGACTGCATCCTGTGCAACACCATTATTTTAATATTTTTTTAGGAATGTGTAACACCCTTGCTTGTCTAATTATTTAAATTACAAAGGAAATAACTAATGTTTGATAAATATTTGCTATCCATATCTAGAAACACAGGGAACTTGACAGAACAAAGGTAATACCACATCTTTTGAATGTGTTTGGAATGTTCATTTAAGTAAATATTCTCCTTCTGCACTTGCTTGTAATTTCTTCAAGGACTGAAGTGTTGCTATTGGCTGTATATGGCACAATGATTGAATTTCAGTGCACGTTCCCAAAAGGCAAGCGTTAGGGTTGTATTTGCAACTGCTTTAGAATAGCAACCAAAGTCCTAAATTTGAAATCCTGTTCTTAAATCCATGTTTTTGGGTGTGTTCTTAGTCCAATGAATTTTACTATTTGGTGGATAGTCACGCTGTTGCTAACTCTGCCTTATCTTCACAGGCAATCAGTAGCCTTCCCAGCTAAATTCTTCTTATAATATAGGTCTTTGTTTTGAGTTGGCTTCTGATGAAATGGTTGCCTTATGGAGATAGGAAACAATGCAGAAGCTGTCTGAGTATCTACTGCAGTTCACTGCTGGAAGTAGCAAATGGAGCTAGCTGGACCACAAATGTTTTTATGTTCATCATTGTTCTCAAACATTGTTTGAGAAAACTTTCCTTATTTAACCTCCCTCTGAAAATCAGAGTATATGGTTTAAAAACAATATTTTCAAAATTCTTATTGTTGGAGGATCTAGAATAAAACTGTCAGATTTAATGCCTGAATTCAAACAAACCAGCTGCTATTAGATGCTAAAACACTAGCTCCATATGGCACTTTAGATCACTGAAAGTAGGCTATGAATTCTTTTGAATTATCAACTGTGTACTGTAGATGAGTTGGCATTGTTGCTTCAAGAATGGTGCAAAATGTGCTTATTCCTGAAAGGCCTGAAGTAAGTAGGAATTCTTAAAACAATAAGGTCTTGTAGTTCATGTTGTTTTAAAGCAGTACAGTTGTGTATCTCACACATGCCATTTTATATTGAATGTTTTAGTGTGAATTAATTTAAGGTGCTCTTTGGTTCTGAGGAAGATTCACACAGAATTAGTGAATGCAGTGTTAGCATTAGCTTGGGGGGGAAAAAGGTACGTAAATGGAGTAAGCAATGCTGATGGCACTAGGCTGCAATACGATGAAAGAATTTAATGTGATCTAACTTCATTTTGTATGTCAAGTAATGTCAGCAATTCCAAAAAATTCCAAAAATTATGTTGGAACATGACTAAAATTGAAAGGATATATTTGCCTTTGTATGCTCAGTCTTGGTTGACTAAACCAAATGTATACTAAATGCATGTTTACTGTCTTTCACTTACTGAGTATAGCAGAACGATATCTTTTTCAGGCATTTGCAATATATTGCAGAATATCTTGAACTGAGCTCCCATCAACTGCAGATGTCAAAAATATGCTGGATACTTCACTATTAGAAATTACATTTTGAGGACAGAACTTGAAAACCTTGCCTGGTGTTGATGATCTCTGAGCTTTAGAAAATAAGAATTCCTGACACTCAGCAGAATGAAGAAACTACCTTTATGCAGTATTTATCTGTGCTGTCAGCCCTTCTAATAGCTTGCACTTTTTTTTTCCCCTGGTTTGTCCTCTGAGTCACCAATCTGCAGCCACTTTGTCCCATCCCTGTTGGCTCTGATTGGTCAGGCTGCCTATGTAACATGAGTGAGTGAACAAGTAGAATTTTTCAAGCAGTACTTAAACACATAATAACGTTTTATTTCTAAGTTAAAGGTACACTAAGAGCTTTTTTCAGCTCTTAGTTTTGTTTTCTTTTTAACCTAAAACTGTATTTAAAAGAAAAAAAAAAAGCTGTAAGTTGTTAAGTTCCAAGCTGCTACTGGAACATCTGGTCTCTACATAGTACTTATAATAACTGTTACTGGAAGTGCTTGCAATATACCTGCACCATCACTTCTTTGTAAGCAGTAGAGATAAAAAGGCCCTTCATATGGTTATGCTTGGAAATATTTTTTCAGTTGTTTAATACTGTTGGATTGTTTCTATAAAATCTGCAAAATGTGGACTTCAAGAGTAAAAATTCTTCTCTGTGTTTAAATTTGTGCTTAGAAGTCATTGCAGCTAATTCCAGGGTTTTTTAGCTCCACGGATTCAAGTCTTAAAAATCAGCTCCATAGGAATAAAATGCCATGCAGACTGAGGCTGTGTCAGTTCTGCAGCTGGAACAACCTGTTCTTTAGGCTTCACCTGAGACAGTTTATCTGGACTCAGAGGTTCTGCTGTTTCAGCTGCCGACCATCATTCACGACTGCTCTGCATAAATGCTTGTAGGGGCTTGCTGTGTGATACGAGCTGTGCTGTTTCTGCTGTAACCATTTGACTTTCTTATTCTCTGTTCTACAGTAATTTGTTATCCATTTTATTGCCCTTCATTATTCAGAGAGAACAAGTTTGTTCTTTAATAAGATAGTTATTGACTGAGCAGGTTATAAAAATAAAGGGAACTGCCCAAAAGGAGCTGCTTAGTTTGTCTTTTTTTTTTGTCCACCTGGTTTTTAATTGTTAGAACCTGGCACAGCATGTATGTTGTCAACCTTATAAATAGAGGTGGGAAGGTTATTTTGGATAAACAGGAAACCAGGTGACACAGAATTTGCATTTCCTACTAAAAGTTTTTACTGGGGAGGGGGGGGGGAAGAAGAGTTTATTTTCAACCCTGGGTAAAGATTAATCTGCTCTTAAAAACAGAAGACTGTACTCTTCAGGACAGATAAATAATTGACCTAAGTTATAAGAGTGTAAACTAAACATGTAGCTACATGTTAACTGACTGGAATGGTTTCTGTTATCTGAGCTGGCTTATGTGTTGACAGCTATGTATATGAAGAATAATCAGTGGCAAACTGTTTAAAATGAGGGCTGCATTTCCTTAGAATGTTATCTTCTGGAATAACAAGCTTAGCAGGTCTGTCTTCTGGAGATCTGGAAAGGAATGAGTGGCAATCAGAAATGCTGCTATAAAGGCATTAACCACAGACCTTAGCTGTGAGGTTGGGATTGCTCCCTATTTTTATGCTATAGATACTGATGTACATTTTTAATATAAATACTTACCAAAGGACAGTTCCCCTGTCTGCATCTGGATGGCTAATAGAACGATAAGTGCAGAGATTCCATCACCTGCTGTTTCAGATATTTTCTTTAGGACAGGTAGAAGAACCTTGGGAGTTGTCAATTGATGATGATGGAATACATTGTGTGGGTTTAATAGTAAATAGGAACAGCGTAAAATAAATGTCCTCAAGAGTAGATACAGCTTATGAGTGAGAAAAGAAAAGAAAAGAAAAGAAAAGAAAAGAAAAGAAAAGAAAAGAAAAGAAAAGAAAAGAAAAGAAAAGAAAAGAAAAGAAAAGAAAAGAAAAGAAAAGAAAAGAAAAGAAAAGAAAAGAAAAGAAAAGAAAAGAAAAGAAAAGAAAACCACCTAGTTTTCTTTTTTCAGGCTGCTGATTATATCTTTCTTCATTAGTTTTGGAAAGCAATATGCTGGCTTTCTACCAGTGTCCTAATATATCAAATGTTTCATCATGGCAGAATCACTGACCTTAGAAGGTAACTCATAATCAAAACAAATGGAATAATAGATCAAGCATTAATTCTTATGTGTCTACCTTTTATATTCTTCTTGTCAAATGCTCTCAACATGTGCATATAGCCTTCTTAAAGAAATTTATTAATAAAAAAAACCCCTGCTTTCTCTGTGATTAGAGCACAGAATTGAAATAACTGGAGCCCATGGGAAACTCATGTTTTTTAACTAAATATGACACTGTCAGCTATTTTTCTGCAGTTATCACTGTGTGCTTGTGAGTCTGATAGTCTCCCTGTGGTAAACTAAGGGAACATCAGCATCTGTTTCCTGATAGTCTCAAGGTACTGCAATTAATGAGTAAGGCATGGCAAAATGTAGCTTTTAACAAAGTTGATTATAGAACAGTGTTAACAACTCTACTAAAAATTTCAGCATCCATTGAAGAAGCAGCCATGCAGTAACTAAAGAATGCCTTGTTACTCTATCAGTTACCAGGTGTATGTAAGACAGAAGCAGCAACAGGAAAGGTCAAGTCGTGCTCTTAATTAGTTTATTTCTATCCTAGACAGTCCTACTACTGTGAAATGTCTTATGCACGTTAGTAGATGTGGAAAAAGCATTATTTTTTCTGGGAATAATTACCTTCTGTCTGGTATCTCACTGGCCTAGGGAATACTAGGCTACAGTGTTCGGAGTGCTAACACAGAGAACTCTATTTACACAGTAGAAATGGTAGCTACAAAAAACCCCACAAACACCTTCTGATGCCTCTTACTTATTCCACTGTGGCTAGTTTGGGAAACTAAGTTGATTAATGGTATGGAGGAATCAGTGGTTCTTCTCTGGGACCTCCTCTCTATAGAAGAATTCATCAAGTTATGGATGTAGACAGGGAAAGAAAACAGAGACTTGTTCTCTTCTATATCATTTTGAGAGGGATAGAGATTAGTTTACAGAAACCTTAATAAAGGGGAACTAGTGACTTTGAAGAAATTCACAGTAAAATTTAAGTAAGCTTCTGTATCAGATAAGATACTGAAATGGATTTTCTGTAGGGTCTTTGGAGATCTCTTACTGACAGATGGGAAACGTTACTGGAGTTGATGGAGGCATTCTTGATATTGTCTTTGAAAGAATGATGAGCTGGATTTTTGGGGGATTCATGCCCTACATTTGTTTGATGCAGTCATTACAATTTGGAGTTTCCCCAGCTATAAACTGGCATCTTCTTTCAGTGTAATTAATTTAATTGTAATTTGTAAGAAGCGTACTGGCTATTAGAAATAGCAATTTCTCCTGTATCTTTTTGATTTAGGTTTTTTTTTTGTTTGTTTTTGTTTTTTTTGTTTTTTTTTTTTTTTTGTAGTGGTATTCATTTAAGCATAACAACAAAGAAACCTTTTTGCACTTTGCTATTTTTTTTTCTTTTTTCTGGAGGCATACAGTGTTCACCAGAAAATGCCATCTTAGGTGCTCTTGGTGGGATTACTGTTCCAGCTCACCACTGGCACACAGCTATAGACTTATTCCAGTACAAAGTCTCTATCAGATATTAGGGAATGGAGGAGATCTGTTCTAAAGTGTTGAAGATCTCTGGTCTTTTCAGTTCAGACATCCTTGAAGAGAGTCTGATCCTTAGTAACTATGGGGGATTTGGTCTCAGAGAAAACTTAAACTGAAGTGCATTTCAAACCTTTTGAAGGTACTGAGCAGGGTGTTACAAAGTGAGTGAAACTTGGTGATGTACTTGAGTGAAATTCGAGTTCTTATTGCTAGTCTTAATTTTGTCTGCCTGTTCATTTCCAATTTCTGTTTTGAAGAACCGTGCAGTATGGTTTAGTCTCTTGTTGCTTTTTTTCCCCTCTCCTAGAAAAATGCACTGCATATTCTGGCCTGGGATGCCTTCTGGGATGCTCATGCATGTTATTTTGTCATCTTCATGATCTGTCAGCAAATAAAAAGCATTTCAGAGATAGCAGAGACATTACTTAGTGGAAAATTATTTTAAGTCTGTAGGTGATAATATAACAGTAGCTGTCTGCTGTTGGCCTTGCTAAGTGGGTGTGAATTGCTTTTACCTGTTTGCATTCTTCAGTGAATGATTCTAATATTCAAATGCATCTGTAGTGAATCATTTCTTCATTTTAACAGGAGAATCTGCCCAGTTACATCCATGTTGAGACTATGATATGGGCACTGGCAGTCCTGGCTGTAAGCCTGAGCATCTCAAGGAGCGCTGACGTAATCTTCCACATCTGCTAGCCGCATCTCAGAATTTCCTAACCTTGTGGGAGATGCTCTCCTTTGGTGGCGTGTTAGTGGTGAAGCTTCTTGGAAGTTTCATTTTCACTGTGACAGCAATAATAGATAGAGGTAGTTTGATTGTGAAGCAGTGTTTGCATTGTGGAATAGTCAGCATGAGTCACTAAGGAGCCCATACCATCTTTCAAGTATAGGCATGGCTTTTTCTTTATCTACAATATTGTGTTTTAGTATACAGTTCTGAAATATTTATTACTGTAGTGTCATTATAATGTGCAAATGAAAATGGAAGATATATTTTGAGTATGTTTCAGATGCATTAAAAAGTGGTTACTTTATTTCTTTTGTTATGAATATTTGGGTTTCAGGTATAACAGTAATTAACTTCCTTACATTTTGTTTACATTTTATGTAGGTTGCTCTGAAAGTAATGCCTCTTATTTATTTCCATGGAAACTCCAACAGCTAGAAAAAACAGAATAACACTAGTTGATAGAATAAATTCTCAGCTACAAACACTCTTCTGACAGAGCCACCATCATTAGCTGTGTGTTTTTGCCAGCAGTGTACACGAGCCTGCATGCTGTGCTCATGGGAATCTGCACCAGTGCAGGTGACCCACTGTTGCCTCTGCTGAAGTGTGCCATCTGCTGCCTCACTGTGCTGACATCCGCTGCTTTGTTCCCATACATGTTCAGCAAGTGTCAGTGAATGTCAGTGGGTGCCATTTTTTCTGCATAGTGGAATTGAGTTTCACACCTTCGTTTCATCCACACTTCCATGTCAGAGGCCATTTTGTCAGACTGCCCCTCTGCTGCCATCTGTTGTATGGCAACAAAATGGAGTGGAATATTGGTAGGAGCGTTCAGCCTCTACTGCCATACCACCAACATCTGCCCTGAAGTAGTGGGCCAACACAGTAAAACAGGAGTGTTCCTTTTGGGGCAGTGCTGGTACTTAAATATTGGCAATGGAAATAAAATATACTGATAATTCTTGTTTGTTCTGCTTCTCAGTTGTCTGATGGTAAAAATTTCCCTTTAGTTACCTCTGTGTCTGTCTGGAGGAACAGAGCAAATCAAAGTCAGCATTTTAGATATGAAGCCCAGTGTTCTTAAATCTTGTAGGTTTAACTACTTTTATCAAAAGCATCAAAATAGTCTTGCTTGAGTGAATCTTTCTAGGCTGTAATCTATTCTTGTACGGTATAAATATTTTATATAGATAAAATTTACAAATTCTGTAAATCTGCCTGTGTGAAAACATTGGTTAGAAGTACTTTGTGCTTTTGTAGTTGAGGCTTAAAGACAGTTTACTATCTCTTTTTTTCATTTTAGACAATTCAACCTTCGAATGAAGAGAGATACATCTCTTTTTAGTGAGGATTTTAAAGTAGAAACATCAAACCAAGTAATTGATTATGATACCTCCCATATTTACACTGGACACATTTATGGTAAGTACTGCACTTCAAAAAGAATTAAAGTGCAAAACATTGTAAAACATAGTTTTAATAGTACATATACATACAAGTGTATATCCATATTGTTAGGTTATCTTCATTATTAAACTTCAATAATGCATCTAGATAAAATTCCCTCCACTTTTATTCTCTGACAAGGCATACTAAAATGATTATTTTTACCCAATACTTAACTGTACGTCCATAGAAATTGAAATTCAGCTCTGTTTGTGAACTTACATTGGACTTTTTCTATAAACAATATTTATATATTTAAAAAGTTGCATTCAAAAAATAAATAAAGCAAAATTAGGTACTGTTCTTAGTTAAAGGAATTGAAGGGTTGTGAATGTCTCAAACATGTATTCAATCCATCCCACATTTAAACATAAGTACAGTTTTAAGAAAGCTATGTTTGAAAAGAAAAATGAATGCCTTGAAACAGATATTTTCCTGTGAAAGCTTTCAGAATTCAGTGTACACTCAGTGTTTTTTTTATAGTTCCATGAATAGATGTATAAAAATAGCACTTGAATATCAGATTAAATGCTGTATGTCTGACACCCTTAAGATACGGAGTTCAGTTCTCCACTGCATGCCTCTTAAACTTGTCCTTTATGCATCTGATCCGTGCTGAAGACTTCAAAGTTGTTAAACAGAGGAACTATGATTTTGGGACAACTGCATTTCTTACTGTTGAATACTCTTAGTCTTTAAAAGTTCAGACACAATTTTCTCTAAGAATGTCTTACTCCTGTCATACAGTATATTACTATTTTATAGTTCATAGGTTTTAAGAAGTTGGAAGCTGCTTCTCAGTCAGGATTATTATGCCTTTATTATTCCTTGGCACTGTCTGATTAACACCTTGCATAGAGTGTATGCTTGAAGTTTGCATGGTACTGAATGCCTTTAGCAGGGTTGGTTGGTTTTTTAAAGGCACTTTCTGTCATTAACAGGTGAGCAGGGAAGTTTTAGCCATGGGTCTGTTATTGATGGAAGATTTGAAGGATTCATCCAAACTCACAGTGGAACCTTTTATATTGAGCCAGCAGAGAGATACATTAAGGACAGAACTCTACCGTTCCACTCTGTCATCTATCATGAAGATGATATCAGTGAGTACTTCATTTTTGTGCTACAGATGAAATAATTTTTTTTCTATTAAATTTTTCTACCAAAAGCTGTAAGCCACACAAAAGCCACTGTAAGCCACTAAGCTGTAAGCATCAAGTGAGACTTCAGCTTGCGTGTGACAGAGTGAATCGTGCTGTCCTGGAGTGATTCATATGAAGTTATTTCGTGAAAGAGATTTTTGACAAGCCTAAGTCCTTATTCTGCCATTTTAAGAAATTCTTAGTAGTCAGGTTTAGGTGCATAAGCAGTGTATCTTCTGCAGTGGATGCATTTCTTTTTGTTGTTGTTTTGAAAAATGCCTTCTAAAATGTCCTGTCCCGATTGCTCTTTCCTGGGACTTGAAAAAGAAAGGGTAATTTAAGTTCAAGTCATTATGCACTTAAAAAACAACTAATAAAGGTGATGCTTGTGAAAAATAAAAGCTTCACCTGTGTGTGTATGGGTTCAGAGGTCTTCAGATAGCTCATTAGAAGATGCAGTATATGTCCTGCTTTAAAAAGCTCTGCTGGGAGTTGAAGCTGATGGAAACATACGGGGAATACTACTTGAGTAGTATGGCCCCATTAGCCTAGCTTTGAATGCTAATGCACAGAAAGACAATAAAATACCATGGAAACCTTATTATGAACTCAGAACTGATGTATCAGATTTCTGCACTCTAGCTATCTTTGCATATATGATGTCTTCAGCTGGTACAAGTTACATAACTTATATAGAGTTTTTGAATGAAAGCAGTTACTGATTTGGTGTACATTTTGAACACCACATGTTTTCTGACTACCTAAATGTGCATCTCCCTGCTACTTACAAGACTTGTAATTGGGAATGAAGTAACAAGTGGGCAACTAAGAATGCTATCATCTCTGATAGCAGCTAGTGAAAGAAACCAAACTGTACTTTGTGGGAGCAAATAATTTTATTTATGAAAATGACTGTCTTGTAGAAGTGATGTCTGTTGTAAATGGATTACTTGAAAGCTGGAAAAGCTTATAATGAACTTGGTTCTTATTATTTTATTAAAGTGGATGAAACAGGAAATATGTAATTTTGTTTATTTAGATGGTAGTACACTGCCTCACTGTTTTTGCCCTTGAATCTAGTGTTATCAAAGCCTTCAGTTAGGAATGAAATCAGATTGTCAGAGATGTCTCTGTCTATTCCAAAGAATCGCACTTAAGGAGCAGCATAATAGGGCTTCCGTATCACCAAAAGAATGGGCATTGCTGCTTGCTCAGCTTGGTTGGAAGTAGCCCATCGTGCAGCTAATTCTAAGCAGTGCTGTTGGAAAATGTGCTACTCTGATTAGTTGTTGTGGATGCAGTCAGATGTGCAAGTCTTCTGATCATACAGCTTGGTGTGTTTTGTTTTGGTATCCCAGACACCTCTGTGATTGCTGTGGTCTGAAGTACCTGAAGTGTACAGCTGCTTCTTTTGCTTTCTGAGTAGTGCTTTTGAGAATACATTTTTATGCCTTTCATAAGAGTTATTTTTGCATTGAACTTCAGCTCAAAAAAAAAAAAAAAGACTTTACAGCAGCTTTAAAAATGAAGGCAAACACTCTGATCTGTTACTGTATTAACTTGAGCTAGCTCTTGTGAAATAGAGGCAAACTTTTAATGTCTTACACAGGACAAAGGCAACAAAAATACTCACATTACTAATCCGGGAGAAAGGGGGAGGGGGTGGAATCTTTGCTTTTATTTGGGATATTTTTTGGTCAGGAGCATTTTAGCCTTTTGAAACAATATGCTTTTTAGTGCCTTTCAGAAATCACAATGCAACATATGATTAGCATCTCAATGAGGTCTTATTCAGTAGTTAAACAAAAGGGTTTTTTGTAAATGGGGATTATATTGTCAACTTTATAAGGCAGCTTTTGTCTATGTTACAGTGGATATGGTGGAAGGCAGCCTTCTATTCATGACTTGAAACACAACTTGAATGATTTCAGTATCTAAACCACTCCTGATCAAACAATTTTATAATCTAGTGCAAGAAGGATGCAAACTGCTATTTTCATTAAAGTGTTTTGGAGGCTGCTTTCTTTAACAGTTAAGGTTTCATTGGGACTTCATTTTCTGTAATTAAATCCTGTATGCTGTAAATGTATCCCTGAGTTCATACTGTAAAATACAAAACTGGTTGCGTATTTCCTCAAATCAGCACTAGACAGGAAAGCCCGTTCAGAACTTCAGGGAAATGAAATTTGTCATTTAATTCTCTGTTTAATTCTGTGTGGTCTTGGAGGAACTCCACAACTGAGAACAGAAAGTAAAAGATTTTGAAGTTCTGCGTCGAGTCTGCTGAACTAACTGTCCATGGCAGATTGTGTATTGTTTGAGAACTGGGTTTGTTTGGGCTTTTTTCATATCGTGGCCAATATGATAATGAAGGTTTACTTGGCAGTTTTCATGGGATCTGTGTGACAGACTGCCTATTAAAAACAACAACTCAACAACAAGCCTTAATACAGATTTCCCTGTCTGCTTAAATTTGATCTTTTGTTCTGACACTATTGCTCTTGCTAGTGTTGGTGAGACCTTGTGGCTGTTGTAGGTCTGAATTTTCATCTTTTTCAAGGAAATCTTGGTGTCATGTCCTTGCCCCAGACCTGGTACCTTGCCCTAAACCTAGTATCCATTACGTACTTAACCTGAATACTCCACAGGTTGTACTATTTGCTGACAGATAGAAGCAGAAAATGTGATCAGGAGTCTTTTATGTCATTTATGTCAGGTAGTGCCCTTTTTTTTTTTTTTTTTTTTTTTAATAAAAATTGTTTCAATTCATTTGAGAATCTGTAGTTTGTATGTATCATTACTAACTTAAATCTTTCTGTCATTTAATTAAATAAGAATGAAATTTAAAAATCTTGCCCTTGGTTTTAGTACTATTATTACTGTCATCTCAACGTTGTGTCAGAATGTACCAAAATAGAGATTGGAAAACCAAAAACTTTTAACAACAGAGAGGAAGAGAAATGAAGTTTTTGTTCTACCTGAGGATTTTCTTTAGTTAGAAAACTGATCCTCTATTTCAGTTATGCCTTTACTGGTGGAAAATAAGCTGCTTGTGTTTTTCAGTTGAACGTGACTGGAAGCAGCCCTTCTGATGGTAAAGCATGTGTTTTCTCATGATCCATTTTCAGGGCTGTGGTGTAGGGGTAAGCCAAGGCTGTACTTCCCAAAGCCATTAAAAGCACCGCAAGAACGTGGGTCAGACTTCTGTCTCCCAGTCATCTGACACAGAGTAGTTCCTGTCTAGCTTCTTCAGCAAGGAACTTCTGCAGGGGATGGTGGAAATAACACGTCTTGGAACATGAACAGAGAACAGTGCCTTTCCAGTTCAGGAGTAACTCAGCATTGAAATAAGAAAGCTTTGTGTGCAACTTTCTCTGTAAACAAGACTTGCTCCCAAACTCTAAATAACCTTACCTCCTCTTTTTAGCAGAGAGGATTCAAATCTGTCATTTGAGTTTGTTTTTCCCAGCACATACAAAACCTTGGCAATTGCTCTTGCAGAATGTTTAATGTACATTTATTAAAATAATTTTAATGGTTATACTTTTGAAATGTTTCTTACCAGATACGACTTTTTGAGGTGGGAAATATTTCCTTGAATTGCAGCCGGTCAGTACTGGCAATGTGTGAAGGTATTTCCTGACTTCTTTGGGAAACAAGATGCAGCAGGAAGACTACTTAGCTTGTGTAATTCACTGGGAGCAATTTTTCCTAGTACTGTTCTGTCAGCTGTCATTGCCAGAGAGTATGAATAGAATTGTGCTGATAACATAAAATGGCATTTTATGCTGATACAAAATATGCTGTATGGTCATTTTTCCATGTGATTTCTGTGGATTCCTGGAGGTGCCACTTGGAAGAGTTGCTTTGAAACTATGGTGGATTTGCACAGGTGAAGTGTGCTGGCAGCAAGGCAGTATTGTCCCTAACTCTAAGTCCTGTCCTTGTGTAATAGGCATTGTATAACATGCCCTTAGTGCAGGGATAAATGGTGATGTGAGAGCAGGCAATGAGAGTTATAGTTAGATTGAATGCTGGAGAATTTATTTTGAAATGAGAATAGAGATGGGAAGGGTCATATCTGTAATGCTTTGCTCTTGACAGCTCTGGTCCAGTGATGGTAGCCAGGGTACTCAAAGGTGCAGATCTCAGCAGTGACCAAGCAGTGCTGTTTGTTGGGATAGCAAGGCCAACGTTACACCAGATAGTTACTCAAAATCATGCAGGAATGAGGTGGCTTGTAGTAAGCATTCTGTCTCTCTTGGTTTCTCTGGCCTTGTGCTAGGACTAGCCATACTGGGAGGAATGTCATGAGACCACAGTTATAAAACAGTACTCATGTGCTGTTAGAATTGGAAACATGGGAAGCTAATACGAAGAAAATATAAGAAAATAAATAAACTCATCTGAATAACTGTAATTCATGACTGCTTGTGTAAAATAGTGAAAGGACAAGTTATTTAGGAAGCGTAGGATTTTTTTTTACAGTATTACTGTAGTTGTCCCTCTGAAGATACATGTTTCTTCTAATTTAAACTGTAATCCTTATTAGAATCAAAACGTGGGTGGAAATTGCCTTCAGTGCAAAATCGAGATTTTGCTAACAACGTCTTTGGCAAACAGAAGTAAAAAAGAAAAAGGCATAAAGTTTAGTGAAGAAAAAGTGTTTTTGTTTTATATTAGGGTAGCTTGTATAAAAATCAGACTTTAAATACACTTTGAACTACAGTACTGTACTTGGACATCTTTATGAAAGATAAAGTTGATTTGCTAGTATGGTAATGAAGAACGTGCAGCTGCAAGGTTTTAGTTGCTCTTAAGCTGCAATGTTAAGCATGCTTATTCAATCAGGCTATTTCCTCCTGAGCAAAGTTTATAATTGCTGCAAATATTTTGTGCCTGGAAAAGGATCCAGTTTTCAAAAAATGTTAACTACGTTTTGTTTCACCTAATTTATCATTAACCAGCTTTAGACAGCCACATGATCTCTTTTAACACTTGTAAAAGTGTGGCTGGGGGGAATAAAGATTGGAAGAGTACTTTATTTGTTAATTAATTTGTCCTTTCAGGGTTATCATTGGGTCTAATGAATACAGTCTTTCAATATTTTTGACTATAAACCTATCTTGAGTTATTTTAACAGAACTGTAGTGCCTTTAGCTGCATGACAAGAATACAGTATTTAAATTTGTTTCATATTCCTCACATTTTAATGATTGAAGTGTGAAATTTAGAGCTTGATTATATCTTGATAAAACTAACCTTGTCTTATCCAAACTATCTTTGATATATTTGATTCCAAATAATAATTTACCATTGAGTTTCATTTCCTTACTCTTGCTATTGGTTCCAGTGAGTCTGTAAAGATGCCCAAATAATAACTCTTGTTCTTACATCATACATTGTTCACTTCCTATTTTCTTTCGATATCCATAAGAAAACAATTTTAAGAAGCAGTCATAGTATTTTTGGTTTGTTAGGCTTTAGACTGTATCTTAGTCAAAACGATGAATGGAAAAAAGCTGCTGCTTAGATCTTAGAATGCTTCCTTCAGAAACTGTGAGCTTATTAGTTAAATACAAACTGAAAAAGTTGCTGTGATAAAGCTGTATTTATTATATTATTTATATTTTAAAATATTTTATATTTTGACACGTGTGCATTTGAGTTTGAAACCTCAGCCTGGCTTTCCTCTTTGTAGAATATCCTCATAAATATGGACCACAAGGAGGATGTGCAGATCATTCAGTATTTGAAAGAATGCAGAAGTACCAGATGACTGGTATAGAAGAACCCACAACAGAGGTACTACACAGGTTATAATCAATTATCCTGACTAGAAATTAGTGTAATAGTCTCTTTTTTCTTTACATGGTTCCTTTCCTACTTCTGGTCACTGGTGTCATTCCTCTGTGTTGCAAGGAACAACTGCACGAAAATGTTTAACCTGAAATATTCTAGTTGTTTCTTAAAATAATGTTTCCAGGTTCTTTTTCTTACTGCTTCTGCTGCTATGATGTGCTAGCTCCTCGTCTTGATGAGTCCCATGTGGTCTCAGATTTTTTAGAAATTTCAGATGGATTTTTTAATTAAGCTTGTGAAGAGGAATTGCAGTTGAGAAGGAAGTTTCAAGGTCACTTGATCTGAAATGCGTATATTTGTCCTTGAGGAGCAGGAGTTTTCATATTTTTTGTGGGCCACTCTTGTAATGTGAGTGCTTGCAGTGATAAACACCCATACGAGTGGGAGGGTCTTAGCAGTGCTGCAAGTTTGAAGGGGTTCAAGTACACTGCAGGTTGCCTGTAATAAGAGGTCAGTGGTCTATGGAAGCATCTTGCTTACCTTTTTAAAGTCTTTGTTCTATGTTTGCCTTCAGTGTTGCACCACTTGTCATGAAATTGGGCATTTTTTTAACAGTTTCCAACACTAAATTGAGTTCATTTGAGTTTTAACTGTGTTCTGAACATTTTGAACTTTTGCCATCATTTTGTGATGTTCAAGATATGCTAACATAATGATGCACGATGGTTAGTAAAATAGCATCAGCAATTTGAAGTATATTTAAATTGTAACTTCAGATGTTGAAGACGTAATCGACAGTGCGATGCAGTTCAGTGCTAGTGGAAGTAATGTGCTTTCCCAGAAATGTGCTCCTAAAAATTCTGTAGTGTGGTATTGGACCAGCAAATGCCATAACACAGGTGTTAGCACATGCAGCTCGAAGTAACGGGCTTTATTTTGACTTTGTACTTCTGTTTGCTGAGGTAACCAAGTTAATGACAATATGAAGTAACCTGTGTTAGTGAGGATGCATTTAAATCCCATGGCAGTATTTTTTTTTTAGTCTACAAACAGTTTTTTCATCTTCAAAAAGAGTTATGAAAAAGAAAAGTTTGCAAGATCACGTGGATGAGAAAAATGTATTTCAAATTGACTGCCTTGTGTAATAAAAAAGCCAAAATGCTTGGAAGGATTTGGCTGAGTTGTCATTAAGACAGATGATGTACTTGAAGACTGCTCATAGTGTATACTCAGTTTAAATCAACTTTCTTGAAACACTGTAAATCGAAGGAAACTAAGGAAAATCTGTTCATGTTAGTAATGTGTGTTTAGAAAAGAAACTATTGCTATGTTAAGATCGTCTATTACATCTGCAAATTATTGCATTTGTTTCCCATGTGTGTGCAGAAGCCTTCTGAAGAGCCTGACAGCAATGGTCCTCAGCTTTTAAGAAAAAAACGTGCCACTCAAGCTGAAAAAAATACTTGTCAGCTATATATTCAGACTGATCATCTGTTCTATAAGCACTATGGAACCAGGGAAGCTGTAATTGCACAGGTATTTCTAAGCCCTTTGTTTAAACAATCAGCTTTTATTTTGATTTTTTCTGACTAATTTTAATTAAATGAGCAGTAATGTATGCAATTAAGTTTCATTTGTTCTGTCACCCTGTCTTTGTTACAGGCACTCTGGCATTACTGATGCATTATTTCTCTAAAAGTACTCAGTATGCTGGTGAAAAAGGTCACAGACACTTATGCTTACTTTAGTTAATAATTACAACTGCTGTTTGTTGAATAACCTAAACAAGGCTTGTCTGATTTTTATTATATGTTTTTACTTCTTTTCTCTCCTCTCTTACTTAGACAAATACCTCCTGAAGACTTTTGTTCTGTTTGACAGCCTGCCAGGCTTTTCTGTTAACACTCATTTAGACTTCTGTTTGAAATTTTAGCTCAAACTACTGTGAGTTAATAGCACTGAGTTCTGTTCCTGTATTGTGTCGTATAATGGAAGGTCAGAAAAGCAGTGGTAACTAGAGGCAGATGCTTTTCATTTGTCAGTATAGCAATAATTGGAAAACATTTTTTGTTCACCATTTATTGCTAAAAAATATATGTAGCTCCTTAACTATACATCTCTTGAAGTAGAAAATTGCACTGCTGTTTACAAATGTGTCTTGCACTGTTGGTTCATCACACTATACATCTGTAGTTGAGTTGAGTCACGGTCTCCAAAGCTCTGAAGTCGCCTTCAAGATCAGGACCTCAGTGAGTTAGTGTTTCTATTCTATCAGAAAAGGTAATTGATAAGGGGTTTTTTTTGTTTTTTTTCAGATCTGCTTTTCTACCAAAATTAAAAGAATAATGCTCTAAATTTTTTCCCCCCCCAAAAAAAGAAAGTACAATTTTAATTATAGTACCACTTATAGTAACAGTGAGCTGAATGAGTATCACAAATAGTTGCCTGAATTTCTAGTTAACATAATTATGTAAAAATAAAGGACTGCTAAAGATTTTGCTTTCACTTGTCGTGTTAATGTTGGAAATAAATCACTTCATAACCTCGTATGTACAATGTTTGCCATCAGTGTTTGCTTTTAAAAGGCCTGCTAGGAGTTACGCTGTGTAATAATGTGTATGTATAACAAAGTATAGGCTGTGCAGTTGCTGTTGTTTAAGATGATCTATGGTGTACTGCACAGATCTTTGAACTGCAGGTGTTTTGTTTTGTTTGACAGATATCCAGCCATGTTAAAGCAATTGACACAATTTACCGCTCAACAGATTTCTCAGGAATCCGTAACATCAGCTTTATGGTGAAGCGAATAAGAGTAAGTAAGACTGGAAATACTTGCAGCTTCAGCTGCATTGCGTGTTAAAAAGACCTGTGGTGTTTTCAGGTCTGTTCACCTGTTACTGTTTACTGTCAGTGTTTAATATTGGGTGTCTTTGTTTGCTAATGACTTGCTACCCCCTGCGTTTGATTTTGGTGTGCGTTGTCAGAAGCATGCTATGTCACTGTGAAGGTGTAGTCAGCTCACACCAAATCTACTTCTTATGTTTCATATATATGTGTTTTATTTATGTGTGTGTGTGTGTGTGTGTGTATGTATATATATATATAATAATAAGAGGATAATTATAAACTTGCAGGTGTTGATAAAATGGAATAACAAATAAGGAGGATTTACTAGACAAATGTAATTTTTTACTTTTAGAACTTGTTTTTCCAAGCATTGGAATTGTAATATGTCATTACCTGTAAATCTTCAGCAACATCTTTAACGTTACAAGATATTGACAGCAATAAGCTCTTGGCTGATACTTACAAATTCAATTACAATGAATCACTTATAACAGTTTGTTTCAATTCACTTTTAGATTAACACAACTGTAGATGAGAAGGACTCTTCAAACCCCTTCAGATTTCCTAACATTGGTGTGGAAAAGTTTCTGGAACTGAACTCAGAACAGAATCATGATGATTATTGCTTGGCCTATGTATTTACAGACCGTGATTTTGATGATGGAGTCCTTGGTCTGGCTTGGGTTGGAGCCCCTTCAGGTAATTGAATCCAAACCTTCAACACTGTGATATTAAGGAAGCACTGTAGGTAGGTTCAAAGAAGAAAAGTAGGAACTTTCACATAAGTTGTCAGGAAGCAGACTTTTCATAACCAGCAGTTCACAATTTTGGTTTCATATGTTGTTTTTTTTTATAATAGAAGCAGGATATCTCACTTCAGTGAGTCTTGTTGTCTTCTGATGAGCAATACCTCAGCAATAAGGAAGAGCACATTTCTTTCAGTTGACAGAGGTGACATTGGATGGCATTTTATTTATGACAGATACAGATGACCACTAAAGTGACAAAGGAGGCAGAAGCATTCCTGCTGCATGCAGGCAGAGAGCTCAGAACGATGCAGTTTTCATTTTTAGTAGAATAACACTGCAGGAACTGTAGGTTTTGTAAGTAAGACTGGAAATATTTTTGATACATAAGTAAAACCACGGATATCTTGTTCTGGGAGTTAACAGAGTAATTGTCTAAGTGTTCTTGATCTGCTGCTCGTAGTTTCCATCTAGTCATGTATTTTGGGTCTTAGTATCTCTTGCTGTGTTAAAAATTATATATAAAACAATGATTTTCATGCGTGCTGCATCTTGATGTTTTCCTGGGACGTATTAGTTTTATAAATTAATATGTTTGAAAGTTGTTACTCTTTTCAATTCAAAGAAATAAAAATTCTTTAGTTATAGCTCAGCACAAATTCAAAATTGTGTAAACTTCCACAAAAATTGAGAGCAGTCAGTCTTTTTCTATAGCTTAATTCTTGATCTCATGGCAGTTACTGAAGGGAGAAAAATAACAGGTCTGTGAGACTTTGCAGAAGACTGGATACTTCCATGAGAATATTATGAAGAGCTACAAATGGAATTTGAGTAATGGTGGAAGAAACATTATAGCAACATCTCACTAAGGTTTTAAATTATAACCTTCCTTTTTCTGCTGCTATACTTTCTTCTGAAACATGTTAGCTAAAGAGTACTGGATTTGTGTGAAAAGTTTTGTGCTGTGACATCTGCTTTTCACTTCAGGAGAATAAAATGCTCAAATGAGCATTCATAAAGTGTTCATAGTGGAGTAAGTACGTTAAGAGAACATGTGAGCAGTAATTCTAGTGATTGTGGAAGAGTCATAGGATGCGTGAAACGCAAGTTACCTTGTAAATAGGAAACTGGGTCTATGATGATTAATCTAGTGCATACAATAGACAAGCATTGGGTGCACTGGAGTATGAATTCTGTAAGCCCTTTTTCCAAAAAGAAGATCTAACTGGCAGAAAACCAAGTTGTTTTGAGAGATTTTCAGATTTTCGTTCTTAATGCATGTACTGACATCGAGTGAATGGGACATCTCCCAAAAATAAAATTTTACTTCAGAAAGCAAGGGAATTCCTTGGGGAATGTTTTCTTGCCACTGCTTTTTAGGAGCAGAACAGCTGAATTTTAGAATGTTCACAGAATCTCAGAACAAACCTCATTTACATAAAAATTTGAAGTCAAATAATAATTTCAAGACTTTTCAAAATGAAGTGTGATGCTCTTGAATATTGACCTTCCAAACAAGTCTGATTATCTCACGCATCAAAACCATTTTTGGCTTTAGATTTTACAGTGAAGAGAAGGAATTACTTCTGCTGACAAGGACACGTTGCTAATCTTAGGTATTTTTTTAGTAAATGCTTTTGCTGTGACAGAAGATCTTCCATGACTGTACTGTTCATTTTTATTTTATTTTTTTTTTTTTACTTAGTAAAATCCAAACGAGATGTAGATTGAGTCTACCTGTGTTGGACATTGCCTACTACTTGTCAGGTTCTACAGCTATGATAAAACCAGGGCTCGTACATGCACTGAAAAGCCCAAAATAGATCCTGCTTAATAGCTATTCTAAAAAACCTAATTTCTTGTGTGAATGAACTCATTCAGTGCTGAGAGCATTAGCATGGATAAACTTAATCTCCTTTCAAAGTTTGGATTAGTATTAATTACACAGACCTACTCCTGGTTTGTGAGGATCCATTGAGGTAGCAAGCTGTTTCTTGTTCCAAGTATCAGATGAAAGTGACAGAGCGCTTCTTTTCTAGAGTGATCTTTATATTTTTGCCTAAATACAGGGAGCTCTGGTGGAATATGTGAAAAGAGCAAACTGTATTCTGATGGTAAGAAGAAGTCTTTGAACACTGGAATCATCACTGTTCAGAACTACGGCTCTCATGTTCCTCCCAAGGTTTCGCATATCACTTTTGCTCATGAGGTTGGACATAACTTTGGCTCACCTGTGAGTATTGCTTTTGATCTGCTGCTTTCAATCAATTTGAAAGGCATCACTTCTGAGTGGAGTTTTTACCACTAATTATAAATAAGTAAAATATGATCATGAGTGCATGGCTGTTGTGTACAAAAAGCAGGTTGCGGAAGTACGTCTTCTTTCTACAACGTTGTGATTGTAATATCTTTCTTTTACAATGTTGGTGCAAGGGTTGGTTTTGTGGATTCTTTCTACTAGGTCAGTGTCTTATAAAGAAACTATTACTTCTTCCTAAAACTTTGTTTTTTACTGGAGGCTACAGTCACATAAGTCCTTCAGATGTATTTTGTTTTATGCCACAGCAGAGGAAGAATCAATGCAGAATGAAGATGATGCTTTATTCAACAAGAAAACAAAACTGTCTCCTTTTCTCATTCTATTATTTATACTTAGATTATTACTAAAAAGAAGAAAAATGTGAAGAGTATTGAGATACCTACAATGACGTTTTAGAACAAAATTCTTCCTTCTGGAAGTTTAGGTAGTTAGATTTGCTTGTGACAAACCAAAAGCATGAGGCTTTTTTGGCTTTGCTGAAAATGAAGATAATTGGGTGGGGTGTTTTTAGTTTTTATTAAAACTGACGTAAGTTTTCTTCTCTGGAAAGTAAAATGAAATTAAGATGACAGAAATGAATTCCTCAGAAGCAGATGCTTGCATATGAATACTTCATGTGCCTTGAGAGAAGTCCCTAACACAACTGCTTTGAGTAGGAATGAATGTTTCAATTACAGTTGAAAATATGAGCATGTGAAACTGAAAAACTAGTCTCACTGAGTGAAATATCTCTTGGACTAGCTTGGAGGGTCGTTCTTTCAATTTCTCTATGACTTCTGTTTTGCTTCAAGAAAAGATGTAAAAGTGAACATTTGATTGTTCCAAACTGTAATAACTGATTCTCATGAGTGCGTTAAATGTAGTGTTCACCTACTTTTGGAAACATAAATTGTATTCCTGGAAAGTTGTGTGTGTCAGAGCAGCATTGAACTTCATCTTACTCTTCACAGTTCATCTTTTTGTCAGTGTAAAGGCTAGTGTGCCGATCTGTGATGCATCATACTGGATATTAGACTGTCACTAAAGACAGAAACAGATTTCTGCTCTATTCTGAAGTTCTCTTTGCTTCTTCCTCAAACCAAGAAAAAAGATGAGCTGCTGTTTCAGTTATCTCCTTCAGCTTTTCTTCCATCCAGTTCTTCACCTTTTTATGATCATAAATCAGTCTCTTTAGAAGATGGAATTTTTTTTGTCAGTGTTCATTCTAGGACACAAATTTCCTGTATATGTTCTCAAAAATTCAAATCAATTAGCTTGAAAAACTAGATGCTTGTTACGGTTGTCAATGTAAACTTTGTTTTCCTTACGTTCTGAGAAGCTGTAAGGAATAAAGTAGTGTTTTATGATTAACAAAGCCAAGTTTCAGTTTTGTAAAGCTACCAAATCCAGATGTCTCATGCATACATAGAAAAACAAGAAGAGAGAGCTGTCTTAATAGAAACACTTTAACTGTTTTGTTTTGCAGCATGATTCTGGGATGGAGTGTACTCCAGGGGAGTCCAAGAACTTGGGACAGAAAGAAAATGGGAATTACATCATGTATGCAAGAGCAACATCTGGGGACAAACTTAATAACAACAAGTTCTCACTCTGTAGTATTCGAAATATCAGCCAAGTTCTTGAGAAAAAGAGAAATAACTGCTTTGTTGGTATGTACACAGTCATTCTGAAAGCAGAACAGATAAGTTGTTAATTAGAATTTGTTTTGATGCTTTTTGTTTTGCTAATCACTTTCCTGGAAGATTCAGTTGAATTTGAGGTGTGTGTGAACTTGAGTGTTGTGTCAAGTTCTGAACTCCTCAGTACATGAAAGATGTTCTGGATGTACTGGAGACAATCCAGCAAAGGTCCACAAAGATGGTTAAGAGACTGAAGTGTATGACATGTGAGGAGAGGCTGAGAGCCTGGAGACTCTGGAGAAAAGAAGGCTGTCAGGGGTGCTCCTGTCTGTCTGCATGCATCCCTAACAGGGTAGGTAACAGGGAGTGAAGGAAACAGAGCCAGACTTCTCTTAGCGGCACCCAATGAAAGGGCAGGAAAAAAAGATACAAATATAAACAGGATTTTCCATGTTTTAATGTGATGGTTTGTTTTTTTGTGTGTGTGTATGGCTTTGTCTTGCTTGTACTGTGAGGGTGATTGAACACGGGAGCTGATTGCCCAGGAGGCTGTAGAGTCTGTCCTTAGAGATACTCCAGTCTGTCTGGACGAAGCCCTTGGGAACCTACTGCATTTGACCTTGCTCTGAGTGGAATGCTGGACAATACTGTCTCCAGAGATGCCTTCCTGCTTCGTCTGTTTCCTGATTGTTTGTGTTGTTCTGGGAGCATCATGGTCAAATGCTAGAGAAATGTTAAAGGCTGCAGCCTCTCTGTTCTGTGAACTTGATGTAATAACTTTGTAGCTCTCTTCTCTTAGAAATTTGGTGAGATTGTACAGCAAGTTGCTTTGGGTCTAGGAGTGAAGTGTTTCATCTCGGTATCGTCAGCTTTTGCTTTAAGGTTGTCAGACTCTACAAAGAGGAAAAGATTCTGTTGCACTGGAGGCTTAGCATAAAACTTTGTTCTTAGTGCTCTAGACTTCTTATCTATGCAAGAAACTCCCATTGTTATCAGAAGAAACCTTATACCAAGAAGCTTAAATTGTATGAATGACTAATCTGAGCAGTGAGCAAGTAGTGCAGGTTGATTTACTAGTGTATGAAGTCCAGCATGAAGAGGTGCTTTCAGTCTCACCCAGGTGAATGCTTTCGCAAGTCAGTATTTCCTTATTTGTGCATTCTTTGTACTGCTTTTTACAAAAATGTACTGGTGTTTTTCAGAGTCTGGTCAACCTATCTGTGGTAATGGACTGGTAGAAGAAGGAGAGCAGTGTGATTGTGGGTACAGCGACCAGTGTAAAGATGAATGCTGTTACGATGCAAACCAATCAGATGATAAAAAATGCAAGCTAAAACCAGGCAAATCCTGCAGGTATTGTACTTATCTGTTACAGTATACTTGTAAATAAAATACTTCATGCAGGAGTGTGAAGTTCATCAGCACAAGTATGGTGTGCAATTCTTGGTGCTATGCTGTAGCTTGCTTGTCTTGTTGTTCAGATGACTATTCAGTGACATACTAAGTTTATGTCTAGAGAATTTTATCAGTGCTGGTAGTGCAGACGAATGTGTTGAAATTTGATAATCTTTGTCTGAAATTTGTTGTGCAGAAGTCTGCAAAAGCTGTATGGTTTGGAAAAAACAAGGCTGAGATGCTGTTATCATAATAGGGTACAAGAAAGCATTTGTTGCCCAAATAATAACAGAAGGATATTCTGAAATTAGGTCTTAGTGCCATTTCTACAGTATTGCTTAACCAGAAGATGTTCTAAGAATATAAATTACTGGCTGTTTTTACCTTTTTACACCTGTCCTATGAATTATATTTGTAAACTTCTAGTGTCTTGACAGTGTTGTACACACAACGATTTATAAGAGCAGATTTTAAAGACTTAAATGCTGTGGTGTAATGTAAGACTAGTTGTGCCTCATTGTTACGTAACTTAAAACATGTTATGTTTTTGCCTCGTCTAAAAACTTGAGTGGATTTTCTTCACATGAAAGACTTTTGTACCTTTCTAGAGACAGCACAAATTTTACCATCTGGTTAGCCAAGGATAATTACTGTTAAAACTCTAAAACAGCTCAGCTTTTTGATATAAGATACAAGGTTTTGTTCTAATTAAACTTTTCTGCCAAATTATCCTTATCATCCTGTGAGTGGAATTAGAAGTAGCATCTGCTGTGAACATGCATTTGGTTCTGTAGATGTGGTAGAAGAATAGCTTTCTATGAATTTGTGGTTGCAGTGACTTTGCCTTTTTTTCTCCTTACGAATTTCTGTCATTTCTGTAGGAGAAAAAGGAATAGCCTTCCATTATTTTATCATTGGTTTCTGAGGTTTTGTTTTATATCATGCTGACAGTGAAGTGCTGACATATGTACTTCAATACAGCTTCAGGAAGCAGTGGCTGTTTCCTGTGATTGTGTCACATCTACTGGGATGATGCACTGCTGTACCTCACTGTAAGAGGCTCAGCTGCCTTCATGTCTGTGCCAAAAAGGAGCCTAAATGTTTAGGACGAATGAGTGCAGCTATGTGGTTCCTTTGAAAAATGTTGTATGTAAACTGACTGACTGCTGATACAAGTTCTCCTGATCTGTCCCCTTCTCTTATTTGTTTAGAGAATGTAAATGGTCTTTTGTGCAGAAAGTTAAAACTTCTTATGGATGTTAAATCAGAGAGAAAGAAATCTTGACTTTTTAATGAAACTGATACTGTAAAGCTAGTCAGTTATTCCTGAACTAATTATTTCACTTGCTGATTTAATGTTTTGTATATGTAAACCTTGAAATGCTGTTGGTCTGTATTTATTTTAACATAAGATGCACTTGTAGTATTTTTCTAACGTGTTGCAAATAGTTTAATTGCTCCAGTGGCTGATAAATACCTTGTTACCTCAAGGGAGGAAAAACAACTTTCTATTTACATTTTACTTGGCACAGATGAGAAATGTGCCTAGTGCTTGACAGGGTTTTGAGATGAGTATTTCTTCTGAAGATGTTTTCACTTTCTCCTTTATATTCATATTTCCTCCTTTTTTCTAGCCCTAGTCAAGGCCCGTGCTGTACTGCGCAGTGCAACTTCAAGCTGAAGACTGATAAGTGCCGAAATGATTCGGACTGTGCGAGGGAGGGGATGTGCAATGGGTTCAGTGCTCTCTGTCCAGCCTCCCAGCCTAAACAAAACTTCACAGAATGCAACAGGCGTACACAAGTTTGCATCAAAGGGGTATGTTTCTGTGACTGCGTGCAACTCTGCAGTTGTTTATTGCAAAGCAGCATGCTGTGAAGTGATGCAATTTCCATTCTTAATGAGGAACAGCGTGATAATCACCTTCTTTCAATAGAAATATTGTACTTGTAGTTTTCAGTTAAGATAACTGTGAAGGTACAACAGAGATTAAGATGCTAACAATATCAGGTTAGTTGTAGGACTTGAGGAGGTTCAATTTAAAGTTTGTTGTGAAAAACAGGTGTATGAAAACACGTTTTACCTCCTATGCTACACTTCTCTTGAGTCTTGGTCTGGTAATTTTGTTGCCTTTGTTATGCTGTACATGCTGAACTTGGCAAATATACAGTTCCTCCTCCTATGTTCAGGGACATGAAATTATGCTGAACCACCTGTAGTTTCCTAGGTGATACAGTCTGTGATGGTTGCTATTAAAAACTGTTGAAAGTCTTTCATAAGTTGATCTGTGTTTACTTGAAATGAGAAGTAAGCAGAAGTCATCCTTCTAAGAGCTGTAACTGATGTTGCTCTAGCTTGCCATATTCACAGTCTAGTTTTTAATAAAATAAGTTTGTAACTGTTTAAGCTAAAAAAACCTGAGAATCTAGAGGAATAGTCTTTATGCAGGTACTGGATTTTGAAGCAAATTTATAATAAACAGAGGCTTTTGTATTTGAATTTGAAGATCCATCCTACAGTGGAATTAAAAATGGAGTTTTTCAGCCACTTTCATTTTCTGAGAGGAAATATTTTTGAAGATATGCTTTTGATTTATTTTTCTAATTATGATTGTAAGTAATCATATTTCAGTGTGAATTGCAGTTTGTTCCAGTGCTATGAAGCTTTTGCACAGTTCACTAAAATCAGATAGCGTTTTAGCTTTTATTTAAAAAAAAAAAAAGTCTATTACCCTTAGAAATTCTCAGATAAGCCTGTAGCTCTGAAATTGCATAGTTATTATCATTCTTTATTATATAAGCTTCGGAAAAAATCCAAACTATTTATTGTATTTTTTAGCATCTTTCTAAGTTGGCAGTTATGCTTTCAGCTTTTAAAACCTAGTATTTCCCTAGTGACAGTGTGTTTAAAGTGAAATTGGTTTTTGTCTCCAACAGCAATGTACTGGCTCAATCTGTGAGAAGTATGACCTGGAGGAATGTACATGTGCTAGCTCAGATGGCAAGGACGATAGAGAATTGTGTCATGTCTGCTGCATGAGAAAAAGTAAGATTTGTCTGGATTGTGTAAGCATGAATTTACCAGTAGATAGGAGGAATTTTGTGACAGTTTTTTTAGTAGTTTTTCTTAGTTTGAGATCATACTTTTTATTTTTATTTCAGGTAGACATCGTGTTATATTTCGTTTTTTTTAGAAAGTACGCAATGCATTTTGTTATTTCACAGATAATATTAACTTGAAATTTATTAAAAATAGATGTCTTAAACAGTGGAGTGCTAACACATTCATGCACATGCGTTTTAATAGGACAACAATTAGAATTGATCTGATTTGTATTCACTTTTCAGTGGACCCGGACACTTGTGCCAGTACAGGTTCCAGCCGGTGGGAGAAACACTTTGCTCGTAAAACTATTACGTTGCAACCAGGATCTCCTTGCAACGATTTCAGAGGCTACTGTGATGTGTTCATGAGATGTCGGCTGGTCGATGCTGATGGCCCTCTGGCTCGGTTAAAGAAAGCGATTTTTAATCCTGAGCTGTATGAAAATATCGCAGAATGGATTGTGGTAAGTATTTTTATTTTACTGGTCTAACAAGAAGTGTTGTTGTTAATCAGTGTTTGCAGCTGCTAAGTAGCACGGTCAGTACTCCAGCATTCTTTGAAGTATCGTCAGTCATTGTTTTCCTAGTATTTCTATAAGCACCTTGACTGCTGCAAATGTCTTGACAGACGGAGTCAGTGCAAGGAAGGGAAGTAGGAAATAGTTCATGTTGACACTTCAGTTCACACCGTTACATTTTGTGTTAATGTTCGTATTTCAACTTGTTGAGTTTTCATTAACTCTTAATATTTGAATGTTTTGCTTTCGTTTAAGGAAGTGAACATGTCGACCTCCAGTAATTCTTACTGCTATTACATTAGATCATGCTTCAGTGGTAATAGACTGGTGGGGGAAGCTCAAAGAAAGTATTATAGAACTGCACAGTCAACTTTGAGTAGGTTTTTGAGTTTTAGGCTTATATAGCTGTATTGTAGTGCAAGTGTCTCAAATACTCTTCTGATGATATTATGAATCTTAAGGAGTTATTTTTTGTGTGTGTGTGTGTGTAAGTACTTCAAATCAGTTTTCCTTTCAAACATTAGGGTTTCTTAAGTAATGTTTCCAGTTAGTTTCTGGATGACTTTTAAAATGCAATAGAAAGCCATACACAGTGTGTATTCATGTCTATGCGTGCCTCCCTTGAATGCAAAGATTAAAAAAAAAAAAAAAAAAAAACCAAAGAAAAAACTTCTTTTAATGTTTTTAGGCTCATTGGTGGGCAGTATTGCTTATGGGAATTGCCCTGATCATGTTAATGGCTGGTTTCATTAAGATATGCAGTGTTCATACTCCAAGCAGTAATCCAAAGTTGCCTCCTCATAAACCACTTCCAGGTAAGCAGATAAATATTTTATCCTCTATTTTTTTCTGAAGGGAGAATTTCTGGTATCCCAGTCTGTACTCCACTGCCTGGTGCTACAAAACTTGAAATGGAATTCGTGCCATGGGAACAATTGATAAAAATAGAACTCTTTCCTTATTTCCCTATAATATAATATGCATAACAAAAGAAAGACTTTGAAAAGGCTTTCTGTCTCAGACTTCCTTTCATTTTATATTCCATACTACATATCATAAGAATTGGACTGTTAAAGGAACTACTACTGAGATAAGAAAAAGTACTCTATGAATGCTGTATGTGTTTAATCTTGTGTTTAAAACATTGCAGTTCTAAGTCTGAAGCTTTTCAAAAAAGTCGTTATGTTTATCTTTTATTGGCTGGGCAACTTTTCTGGAAGTCTTTTCTTTTGCACTTGTTTTAATAATGTGCCTTTCTTTGAAACAGGCACTTTAAAAAGGAGGAGACCGCCACAAACTGCTCAGCCACCGCAGCGACAGAGGCCCCGAGAGAGCTATCAGATGGGACATATGAGACATTGACTGCAGCTTTTTGCCTTGGTTCTTCCTAGTGCCTACAATGGGAAAACTCACTCCAAAGAAAAACCTAATAAATCGTTGTCCCCAGTCTAACTCTCAACAATTGAAGAAAAAAAAAAAAGCATGATTTGCCCTCAAAACAAGTGGGAATGGTGAATTTTTTGACGAGTGAATCTTCCAGCTCAAAAAGAAGAAAAGCGTTTTTCTTGCATACTTTTAATTTAGTGGCACAAAATCCTAGAGCATCATGGTTCTTTCTCCCTCCTGTGCTCTTCATTGCTGCATTTTCTTCACTTGCAGGCAAATATGGCTGTAGTAAAACTTTTATTCAAGAATTGAAAAAATATATATTTTTCAACTGCCAGACAAGGCTAGGAAGCTAGACCACCTCAGCATTGGAGACATGACTTGCCAATGTATATACATTGTTATATGCAGACATGTATTTCTAACGTACACCCGTACTTGTGTGCAATTGTAAACAAGAGAATTGCAATATGGATGTTTCTTTGTATTATAAAACTTTTCCGCTATTAATGAAGAAATTACTGTTTAATTGACATACTCAGGATAACAGAGGATGATGGTGTGTAATGGTCAAGGATCCTGTGATGCTTTACACAGCAATTTTGAATCAAACTTTTTATCATGATCAAAGTTGTTTCAAGCACTCATTTTATCTTTTCTCAAACAGCTGCTAAGACATAGCATACAAGATCGAATGGTCTTTTAGAGATACAGCAGGTGTTGTGCAAACTTTGCAAATACCAGAATGTTTCAAATTTTTTATATAACGTCTGATGTCTTGTAGCTCAGCATCAATGTTTTTAATTTGTCTGATCGTTCAGTTAAATAACGAATAGTTAGATGAAATCTTTCCATGCTTTAGTAGAAAATTCTGCCTGTTTTTCAACTTGTTTTAAAAATTGCAACCAGTTTATTTGGGATGTTCAATATTCCTTCATTGTGACGAGTTCGTGATTCTGAGGGATGAGGAAAGAAATGGAAGCAGTGGTTTGTTTTCTTTTTTAATTTATCGGATATTTGAGTAACTTTTCAGCAAGATGCTGTTGGTTGATAACCACTAAAGTAGTGATTCGCCCAGCTTATTGTGGCAGAGTTAAAACTGTAGTTAGGACTACCAACTTTCCCAGCCATTTTCTAACAGTAGTGAAGTTCAACAGCACAATGTCCCATTCCAAAGTTTTTATTACGAATGTAAATAATTGGCATTTTTAAAAGTGAAAACAAAAGATTTCTTAAGGTGCTTACTGCTATGCAGGAGATGAAAGGAGGGCATTACAAGCTGTTTAAGCTTTTGATATATTTATTGCTTGTTTTCCAAAAGCACCGAGCTAATTAGAGGCGTAAATGGCTATGATTTTCCTGGCTTTGCTTAGGAGAAAACTTACTAAGGTTGGACAGGCTTCCTTTGTTTGTTTTGGGTTTTGTTTTTTCTTTTTTTTTGTTTCTTAAGAGTATAAGGTTTACACAATCATTCTCATAATGTGACGCAAGCCAGCAAGGCCAAAAATATTACTGAATATAATGGGATCTCTTCCTTGTAAACTTGTACAGTATGTGGTGACTTTTTCAAAATACAGCTTTTTGTACATGGTTTAGAGACAAATTTTGTACATGAAACCCTGGTCCAATAGACTATATAAATAATTCTAAATGATCTTAACTAGATAGAAGTGTATGTAGTTGCTTTTAAATCATTTTAAATACATTTGTTTTAAGACTGTGCAAAGATTGGAAGTGGGTTTGCATTTCTAAAATGGTGACTTTTCTTCAGCAAGAGTTCTTAGTAACTTCTTGGGTGTGGTAGACTTTGGAACATGTACATTTTTTGCCTGTAATGTTATCCTGTGGTAGGATTTCGGCAGACAAACGCTGCCCTATTTTATTTTGAGTCTAAGTTAAATGTTTTCTGAAAAGAGAAATGTGCACTGAACTCTCCACTGCAAGTCAAGATGTGGTAAATCAAAAAGAAAGTTCAAGGCAATGGAATACTACTGTCAATTTCATGTCCACTGTGTTTTATACAGTATCTTTTTTGTTCACTTTGGAAATTTTTACTAAAATTGCAAAAAAAAAATAAAAATAAAAATGAAGTATTGTGCAAAGATATGTAAGGTTTTTTGAAACTTGAAATGCATTAATAAATAGACTTGATGAAATCAGCTTTTGAAGATCTATTTACTTTTTAAACCATGAGGGCAAAAAGGAATATGCAGACTCTTTTTTTGCTTTTGCTGTGAATGGGCAGTTGCACTCAGAGGCAATTGCACACTACCTGTGTACTCTCCAAGTGCATCTCTATTCACATCTCATGGTTAAATGCAAGAGTAAATATTCTTGTGTTGTTTAAGGAAAATCTCTAAAAATGTCTGTCTTCATTGCTGTGATCACACAAGTGACTTAAAGCTATCTCTTTTTCATCTTTGATATAGAAACTAACTACTCTTGGGTTATTCAAGCCTGGAATTATAGCTAGCGAATGATTGTAAAATTTATTTTTGAAGAGGAATACCCCAATTAACATGGAATAATCTCAGCACACAATTAATGGATTAGACCTTGAGAGGGATCAAATCTGCTTTTTTCAAGGTGTTTTCAAGCTTTCCAAGCTGTGTGTCTGTTTTCTTTTACATTTTTAAGTTGATTTAAGAGATAAGATTGCTTTTAAATGCCAACTTCTCCCGCTAGTCTTTCCTCTCAGGGATGTTTGTTGAGAATAGTCTGCTTAGGCATCTGTTTCCCTAACTGAGCGGGATATGCTTTGATGTAATAAAAGCACATTCAGAGTTCCTTTCTCACAGTACTTGCTTTCCCCATGATATTTTTGAGTGTTTCCCTTTATAGCTGAGTAGCACTGCTAGGGCAAAAGATAATAACATAACAGTTGGAGTAGATCCGTTGTGCATGCCAGCATCGTGGTTACCTAATAGATTTGGCAGTTTTTATATTTTCACTTCTGGGAATTCACACCAAAGCGGTAGAATAATGCCTAAGCATATAAAACACATTGCATGTATTTTTAGGTGTGTTTAGGTGAAAACAAGGAGGACACAAATAGCTGTTTTTTAACTAATGTTTGACTTAATAATCCCTTGTTATGGCTATTCACTTGAGCATATTTCTTATGTTGTGTTTGTGGAGCGTCACTTGGCTGTAGAAACATGAGTAGTCAGAATGGTAGGAATGAGAGAAGGCTGTCACAGACTCCCCTTGTACCATGAAATTTCATTTTATTTAAACCAGACAGATCAGAAACCAGCAATGTAGTTTGGCCTTTGATTAATGTTCCAATATTGCTTTTTGGGAAGGCGGGAGAGAACAAAGCACAGGCTTTGCCTCAGATGTTACATTGGTGGCTCATTATAACACCGGTGATTAAAGGCTCAGCAGTCCTTATGCTACTCTCAACTGTGCTTCCTCTGACAGGAGCAGACTTGTGAGGCTGTCAGGGTCTCAGTTCAGTATTCTAGTGACCTAACAACAGTTTGAGCACGATGTGAGGCACTGCCATAGCTACTTGGAATCATAGCTATGGCCTTCTGGCATTGCCAGGCAGTTGGTGTATGCTGCCACATAGGCTTTATTATTTTTAAATCAGAAATTAGTCTAACAGCTATCAAAAACACAGGATTTACTTGGCACAGGACTAGTTTGAACATCTAAATTGTGAAAAATGATATCAGAATAAATTTATTTGTATCTTCGAGAGTTCAAATACTGAATGTTCTCTTAATTTTTCTGTTCGACTGAAGGAAAGTTTTCAAGGTGTGTTACCTGAGGAGATACCTTATTTACCTCTGAACTGAAAGATGTTTTTTCCCCAGAGAACTGAGAAGTCCCCAAGCTGCAGTATCGCTGCTCTTTGGGCTTCAGCACACTGTAGACATCTTTGACTTTTTCACCCACTTTTCCTGGACTAATGCTTTTAAACTTCTTTATAGAGGATCCCTGTATCAACCTTTTTAGCACATAAGTAGTAGTGCTATTAAAGGCTAATTTTACTGCCTAAAACGTGCCAAGTGTGTTCGGGTGTGTTGCTACAGGAAAGCCATAACCTAAAAAGCTGTGAGAATGTGTGTGTTTTATGTCACACAACTCTCATCAGAAGCTGTCTCACCAGCTGGGGTGGTTGTTATGAGGTCTTTATTTCAGTCTTCCTTTTTCTGTATTGATTATTCCTGTTTAATTACATGGATGTTAGCTACTGAAAACAGCTTTTAAAAGTTAGGAGTTACCATTCTGGGAGTTACTATGATCAGCAAAGTTGTCTGCATTCGCTGTTTGATGATGGTTAGCTGCTTGCAGGATTCCTGGTTCTGCTCTGCTCATTCCTTATGCTTTTTAGATCATCTCACTTTAATTCTGGTAACATCTAATTATTTTGATTCCAAATTTCCTTCAGTATCTTGGTATGATATCAGTTCTTGTGACTGTTTTCAAATTTGGAGAACATTTAAAACAAATACATTCAGAATAGCCACAGAAACTTAATTTTTAATGATTATTGTACTTAGTTACTCAGTGACAAATGAAATTCTTTCTACTTATTTCTACTTATTTTACTTATGCTCTCCTGTAAGCATAAAACATGACTGATCTGAGATGACAGTTTATTTGTGTAGTTTATATTCCAATATGGAAAACAATGGAATTTTGTATGTTTGAATTCTTTAAATTTATTTATATGCACTGAGGACAAGTTTTACCATTTTCATTTGTTAATGCAGTTTAAAATGATAGTAAGATTTGCTATACAGCAATTTAAAATGTAAAAATTTCAAGTGTTACACAAACAAGTAAATATGATTTTCACACACAAGTTAACAGAACTTCTTTGTGCCACAGTGGTGAGTAGTACGTGAAGCATTATTAAATTACTATTGATTTAAATTAGTACACTATAACGGCTAAATGGCAAAGCATTTTCCATAAGGCATAGCTTTGTGGGGTGATGTAGTTATTTTCCTTGCCATATAGTTATAAGGAATAGCTCAAGCATTCTGTACATTGAGATGTTTTCTAGTTTTGAAAGTCATCAAATCAGAAATTCAGACTTTTTGTTGACAGTGTTGCCTATCTCGGAGTATGTTTACTGTTGAACTCCATCTGCACTAGGAAATAATTTAGGAAATATTTAATGGATTGTCACTATTGATGATTCAAAGTATTTAACTGGAAATGAAACTCCTTCTTGCAAAGAGGTGTATCAGTGATTATTTCAAATAGTAGCGTTTTGATTTCCAGCGAGGATTATTTCAGACTTCAACTAATTTAAAATTAACAGTTGCTGTCAATAAAGTTGCTCATTGATCACTGAGAGTAGGCTTGCATATCAGCACAGTGCCTTTCAGTTTGCCATTGCATCACAGAATTTACATTTGTTTATATTCTCTTCATCACCTCTGAAGCCACCGGAATTTGTAGATTTGTGCTTAGTCTCGCTAAGTGTTTTTAAAACATCCTGCCAGATGTGTGCTATTTTTAATATGCTTTGCTTATTAGTTGGTTTTTCTTCTTGTTCACTTTCGCTCTTGTTGCCGAAATCGATCTTCACATCTCACAAATGTTTTCTCTTGGGCTGGATAAAGGTGAATGTTGTCAATACTTTGAGAGCAAAATGTCATTCTAGGAAGAAAACAAAGCGTGTAACCAGAATAATACTTTTAAGGGATGCTGTCTGTAAGAAATGGCTCTCTAAATACACTGTCTTTACATTTCCTGTACTTACCTTCCTGTGACATCCCAGATTGCACAGAAAGAAAACAGAGCATGTTATTCTTTAAAATATTGGCAAAAACTTCTGCTTCTTACAGCAAAACAGCTTCTAAATATTGTTAGATACCTGAAAATACCACCTGAACTCCCCACACCATTTACCCTTTTTCCAGTTTATCCTAAATAGTGTATCAGTAGCAATTGGCTTGTTCTGTGTTAATGATACAGGACTGTTGGAGAGGAATTTTTTTCTCAAGGTACAAAATCTTTTTTTTTTTTTAAAACAGCTCTCCAGTTTGCCTTGTACCACACAGTTTAATTTGTTTTGGCAGCCAGGTCAGTACTGAACAGCAGGAGACGTTACAAAAACAAGTTTTATATGTATTTTTGGCAGGAGAGTGTGCAAAGTGCAGGGTTAGGAAGAAGTATCTACGAAACACATTTTTGGAAAGGGGAAAAAAATATATATGATACTCCTCTGCCACCCTTTTAAATTGCCCAATTTGTGGGGATTTTTTGTTAGCATCAAGGAGCTGCAGCTCTGCCAATAAATACTGTTCCACAGGAAGTCTGCATGTGGTTGTAACTGGTGTGCTGGTAAGAAAGAGACCATAACAAGGAAAAACACCTGAGGCTGAGCCACAGTTGCAAGGTAAGACATGATTTTCTTGTTAGTTATAATGCTCAATTAAAATTTCTCAAAGGATTAAAGCAGTAGGAATAATTACAAGTTTTGTTATTTCTTCTGGCTGAAATTTCTGTCCAAATAAGCAATTTCAAAAGTATTAATAGCATTTGCTGTATTTGGAGACCAGTACCACTCAGATCTGTGGGTCCAGTTCCAAAAGAAACAAGTGTATCTTGAAAAGCAAATAATTGAGATTTGTCTTATTTTTCCAAGTAGGATTTTGAATTTTCAAGGCCTTAAAGTTTGAATCAGTATTCATTTTGGTTTATATTTGTTTCTTTGAAATTTCTTATGGTCCTTATAGAGTGAGATAATTAGATTCTAAAAATAAGAAATCGCTATCATTTATTACTATTGTGTAGAAAAAATGCATTGCTTGTTTGAGTTCTTCCTTGGATCTGTTATCTGAATATTTCTGAATATTAACTGAATATTTCCACAATTCATTTTAGACCTGAGCACAAAAATTCTTCTCACAGGTCACTTCAAAGTCATGCATTTTGATCTGAGACTAAAATTAAAAAAAAATAAAATGATAGAGGCTGGACATGGATAAACTCGACTGGTCTGAGTACAGGGAGGGGGATCATTGTGGTAGAGCTAGGAGCACCTGTTTGCTTGCTGTCTTATTACAGAAGCAGGTTCTTTTCATTGCACTTACTTTTGCTGTGTTTCCCCTGCTTTCACTCGTATTGTCTTCACTATGAGCCCTGGTCGACGAGTGCCTTTTGTCCATGGTATTATGGTTTGAAACGTGTCCCAGATATTTTTCCAAACTGCAGTTCCTTCCCATTTAAACTTGATCATTAGTAGCTCACCAATATCGGTGTCCAGTGTGATGAGAAAAGAGTAGGTTTTATTCCCATTAATTCCTTCAACTCTGCAGAAATGAAAAATAGAATAATGCTATCTCAATTATAATGGGTTTAAGTTCTTTAAAAAAATAAACTATTTCTTTGAAATCAAAGAAAGAACTGTTCCTCCCTCCAGAGAGGACATTACTGCCTCTGGCATACTCTTCCTCTAGGTGAGTGAAGTTGTGAAATACAACAACTTGCTTGGAAAAAATGGCAGAAGTTAGGAGAAGCTTGGACAGGTGGCAAAGTACCAGCGGTTTCTGAATGTAAAAGAGGTGTTCCATAATACTGTGTTATGCCTTCTGTCTCCTAGAGCAAAGACTGCCTTTACTTCTGATAATGCCGACAACGTATCCATTGTGGGAAATAGCCAAATTTCTTTACCTTAATTGCAGTTGCTTCATTTAGTTTGAATTGATAACTGCCCTGTGCTAGCCTGGGATGGACCAAAGTGGACAGGATACCAAATCTTAAGAGAAACTTCCAAGATTGTTTGTTTTGTTTAAGAGATCCTTCATAGAAGAGTTGTATGAATAATGTAAAAATTCATAATTTTGAGGGAGTGTTGGTGAAGAGAGGACAACTGCTGGTTCATCTCCAATTACTTGTAGTTAAACCAAGTCATTCACAGCTTGATTATCCAAGTGACATGGTAAATTAACCTTTCCTTCCTTACTTGTCCAATGACATGCAATGTCAATACTCACATTGTGATGGGCAGGTTTTTAGCATCGTCCTTAGTGCCTGTCAGAGACATGGTAAAACTTGGGTCTATCTTCTTGCCTTGGATTTCATTTATAAAGTGGATCTTGAACTGATAGTGATAGACTGTAGAAAGGGAGAATTTACAAAGTGATGAAATTAATGGTCGAAGAAACAACAGATTTCTCAGGCATAAGACTGTCTTTCAAAGCAGGAATTTGATTGGTATTTCCATTTTATTTTAAAATGAATTTGTACAATTAAAGCATACATATATTTATCATTGATGTGTTGTATTAAAGCTTGGGGGCCCTACCGCTCTTTTTAAAAGCATTGAGGAGGAGAGGGGAAGAAGGTAACCTGGGCAGAGTTCCCTTTATAGAGTAACACGCTCTCCCATGGGAAATGTTTTTGCTCTTCTGAAATTTAATCGTTGGAATGTCTGGCAAGCTCTGTCCAACCAGCAGAGGAATCCTTCTGACTGGACGTGTTTAGAGGTGTACAATAAAGACTGAAGACCTTATAAGATGTTGTCAGGCTTTTTCTCTGGAAAATTTCCTTGCAAAGCAAAAGACTTCCGTTGGCTGCATAATAAAACATTGTGCTTAATACGCATCTGCTAACAATATGACTTTGTTCAATCACGTTACTGTAAGAAAGATGTCATTGGTGCTTTGAGATTTGGTGGTTTCTCCAAGAGTTGTGTTTAGGAGAGTCTTTGGACTGAAGATAATGGCATGCTTCTGAGAAAGAAGAATGACTAAGGAATTGTCAGTTTTCTGAGTAAAGCTGTTTGGCATTTAGAGAACTATAAAAGACAAAAACAAACAAACAAACAAAAAAACCACCATATAGTTACAGGCCTTGTGTACTCAGATATTATCATCTAGTTTTGAATGTCCAACACTTACCTGTCTAGCAAGTCTACCAAAAGAAAAGATCTGGCTGTAGCCACTTAAATGTACTATGGAAAAGTTACTGTTGGGTGATAATGGCGCCTAAGAGTTTTCAAGTTGACAATACCCACATGTGGTGGCTCTTCATCAACTTCTGACATCAACATCAGATCCATTATTTTTAACAATCTTCACTTTTTAACAATCATCACTGCATTTTACGCACTGCTTATCAGGATATGCTATTTGTAGCTCTAATTCATCGCTGTTTTATATTGACAAACACATAAAAATAAAACCAGACATGCAGTGACAATGGAGACATCTAAAGCAAGCCAGCTCTAAAACACTTCTGCAGTGTGGAATGTGGTTTTCCCATCTGCAAACTGCCTTCTTGCCCACAACTGTTTGGATGTTAGGAAGGAAACCCTCAGTCATTTTTATTGACAAATATCAGAAAGTACTTGGGAGAATTAATAGGTGGTGATATTTATCCTTGCAATGTGGTAAAACTGCACATGGGAAACTGTTCTGTTAAACATTACTGCAGTGTGTTTGTATATAGCATCATAAGTGCTTTTGCATGGGAAGATGCTCAAAATCACCTGCTTCAGGCTTCACACATAATGCTACTGCCGCCCTGTCATCTTTTCCTGTATGTGCACAGATAGACCTTTGTGCAGCTGTGGGCTTCCACAGTGGAAAAAAGAAAAAAAAATACACAGCTGAAAAAGGTGTGTATTTTTGTTGCTGTTTCGTAAGTTACTGTATATTGAAGTGCAGTTTTCTTTTGAAAAGTTGCCACTTATCAAAAAGCAAAATGACCAGTTCTTTGCTGCCAGCCAGAAATGCAGACCTGACAAGGACAAAGTGTGCAGAAAGGCTTGTTTACAAATCACCTATTGCTATTCTGTCTTGCTCTGGGTTTTCTCTTCTTGTAAAAGTTGAGTGTTCGTATGAAGCCTGGTCTTGTGCAGTGCTTATGATACTCAAAGAAGAAAGGTGAGCATGTTTACATAAAAACTTTGGTTGGCTCAGGGTCTCATCATGACTTTATAATTGTTACCTTCTTTGTAGCAATTGCTTTTTTATCTGTACACTCCAGAATGTAATTTGAAAAATGTCTGATTTTATGAAATGTGAAACATAATGCTGAGTTCCTCGGGTTTCCCCTCTTTGAGCTTCTCTCGTGATCTTCAAACTTTTTTTTTAAGAACATTACAAAGATCACTTCACACACATCCTTCCACTGGTGCAGCCTTGTTTTGGAACTGTTATGAAAGGAAATTATTGTTTGAGCATTGGTTTTTGTTTTTTTCCTACAACTTTTTCTTCTTAAAGGAAGACCATGTTGAAGCATAAAAATGCAAAAAAAAAAAAAAAAAAAAAAAAAAAAGAAAAAGTGTTTAAAATCAAAATCAACACCTGTGGGATTCTATCTCCGTATCCAGGAAAGGAAACTGCACAGGGGTGTTATTTCTGTGTGTGCATGTGGCAGACATGGCGTCATCAGAGCAGTGTATGTTCCCCATTCTGATGGTAGCCTGACTGTTACACAGCAAAGCAACACTGGCAACTGCACGGCCTTTAAAAATCTGTGAATCTGCTCCAGGCAGCTTCCTGTGACATTTTTAACAAGTATGAGACCCGCAGTGGGTTCAACTGCTCTGAGTGTCAGTCAGGGCTGAGCACATTTATCTCCAGTCGTGGTGTACTTCACCGCTGCATTAGTGGGAGGAATCATAGGATCTCCAAGTGAGACACTGCAGTGAGTGTCCAAACATTTACTGAGCTCTGGCAGCTTGGGCTGAGCTCTGGGCAGTCTGTTCCATGCCCACCGCCCTCTGGTGAAGAACCTTTCCCTGCTTCCCAGCCTGCCCGCCCCAGCAGAGCTCCATGTCACCAGAGAGCAGAGCTCAGTGCTTGGCCACCAGAGTGAGAGGACGAAAGCCTGTGCAACAGCATTGCCCTAGGTTTCGCTCCAGACCTGAAGAATCCTAAGTTACTACCAGGAGGAACACTTCCAAATGTATTTTAAAAGTACGTGAATTGTATTTTTATGGGTTTTATTCTCTGGTGCTGCAATTGAGTGCCAGGCACTGCGTGTGAAGTTGCACTGTGTGACACAAGCAGGTTCTGAAGGGGATTCCTGCACTCTGGGCCTGTGCTGGAAAAGGCGGGAAACCGACTGTGCTTTCTTCTGTGGTGATTCCTCTGTCTCTCTGAATTTGGGTAGTTATTTTGTTCTCTTGATAAAATATTTTAAGGGTGATAAATCCTAGAGTAATGGTCTCTTTGTTTTAGTGCCCCATTCTGGCCTGTAGAAGTCCAGCTGTTCTGTTGTCCGCTGGCTGAAAAGTAATGATTTGTGTGTAGTAATAATTTATAGGAATAATTTATCTGAAGACAAACTACAGAAAAAATGTGGGTGAATTTGGAACGTGAGGCTTTACAGGCCTCCCAGGGCAGTTGTGCTGCTGCTTTGGCTTGGCTGTGTGCTGCGGATGCTGGGGCACTCGCACAGGACAGCTGTAGAAATGCCTGTCGACCCAGCGGCTCTGAGGCACAGATTTGATGTGAGGTCATCGAGGCAGCCTGGCAGGATTCCTCACTGTCTGCAAACCGATCATCCTGCAGATTTTTCTTATAAATGAATTATCAGGATCACAAAGCCTAGACTTGTCACCACACTTCATGACATGGAGACTATAACAAACACTGCCACAAACCTTTGAAAGGCATGCGTGCTCTTGTTTTCAAAAAGAGTTTTCTACTTTTTGGGAGCCTTTCCTCCCGTATGTTGTAGCCCAGGGTGTTGCACCGGTTCTTCCTACAGCTGAGGCACAATCCTTTGTCAAAAGTGCTGATGTCGTTGCACCAGTACGCTGTGCTTTGCTTGTCCTGGTGAAGCAGGGAGTCAATGAACAAGTGAACTGACCTCTCGTGCGCACATTTCACAGTTTGAGTGATACCTGAAAATACACAAACAGTCCTTCCTTTTTACTGCTCCAGCTACAGAGTAGCCAACTGTATATGTTACTGTGCTTCCCCCACCCCTCTTACTACTGAAATGTTACAATTTATGTCTCAGAAAGCATACATGCAGGAACAGTATTTTTGGGATCATCCAAGACAGTTTGGCTGAACCCAAATACTAATAAAACTGGATTGTTTGCTGCTTACATTTGCTTAGCCTGCCTGCCCAAGACGGTAAGTATGAACCTTGATTACATTGTCCTGACTGATAAGTTAATCGTGAAATACAGTGTGAGGCTACATGCAGCCTTTCAGATCACGCTGTACTCAAGACTACTGCCTAATTCTGAGTGGCTGAACACTGCTGACTTTTGAACATTTATATAATGACATATTTTGTTCTCATCAGAGTTAACAGGCTCTAATGTTGAATTTTGCCTTCAGCTACAACTGGTGGAAAAAAGTCACCAAAAATGTATGAAATACATAATATTTACTAAATACATAGATGTGCTTTAAGATGAGTGCCTTTTCTCTCCTTTTCTAAAAGGAAATTATACTTTTAAAAATTTCAAATCAAATTATAGAAGTTGTTTTCTTTTGTGTAATTTGAATATACCACAGTGGACGGTTTTTACATGACTTCTTTGATAAGATTTCTATGTGGTGTCATGAATTATCTGCTAAGAAGTAAGATCTACTTCTATATAGTGTAGTGATAGCTGAGAAATGCCAAGTGAACAGCACTCTTATTTTTTTCAGTTAACAGTTCTGGCTGACACCGTGCATCAGTACCTTTACCTTCTTTCAGTATGTTGCATGATCTCTGTACATTTGTGTTTAGGTCCTTTGGAAATGGGTTTCTGTATGTATAAAACCAGCTTGGAACATTGGAAGTGAAGTCCTGGAGAGAGCATTACCCTCTGTGCAGCTGAAGGATGATGACTTGGGGAAAGGTGAATTAAGGTGAGTAGTACAGCTTTGTTTGATTTGAAATAGCTAATTGCACGCTAGATGAATCTAGCTTAATTAAAATATTTTTTCTTGTTTCCTCTACCACAAAAATAATTAGCTTTGAAAATTATTTGAAAGTTCTCGACAGCAGTGTACTCATGGTCTTGTTTCAGAAGTGCTAGGCAGCCACATTTCTTATTATTCAGTGAGAATGATTTGAGCTCAGCACATGTAAAAATCTATAATCAATTTCTAGAAAAGAAACTTCTTTGTTTATAGTGGGAGACAGTGCTCCCCATTTGATGATGTTTTAGCACCATAAGTCTATGTGGTTTCCAGAGGTGGCATAAATCCAGCTGCAGCTCTGCTGCCCTTGCTGTCCATTTGATCTTACCTGTGATCCCATATTGTGCAATGTGGTTATACACATGCATGAAGTGACAGCCAGGCTGAAAGGTGCCTCCATTGGGATAAAAATCGAAATGGGCCACAGGCTGTTTGATGCCAACACTGAGACCCATGTGCTGTTTAGTGAACGTATGAATGGCATCTACGAAGTTTGCATCATCTGGAGATAATCGGTCTGTTGGTGACATTCCTTCAAACAAGGGGCCAGCAGGGTCAAGGCCTGCAACAAAAGCAAACGATCCAATTGTGATACAGTATAGATGAGCTTTTCTTATACTGTTTTGAGAAAAAAATGTCTGATAAATATTTAACAACATACAGCACTGGAAATTTACAAGGTCTTTCACTGACAGAAACAATGCTAAGAACACTTGTACTGCAGAGGATACATGGATACACCAAAAGGTAAATAGAGATGTAATAAACAGTAACTGCTATACACACAAGGACACAGGCTGAGATAGATATGTTTGTTATAGGTAAGCCAAGCTCACTACTGTTTTGTCTTTTGAGAAATGTTTACTTAATTCTGTTCTTTGATACTCTAGAGGTCATGCGTTTCAGAGGTCCTTTTGAAAACAGCAGTCCTACAACAAAGTTGACTTTTAGCCTACATTTGAGACTTGTAATTTCTAAAGCTTCACTTCACAGAATCAGATGCTCTGTATAATAATATTCAAATTACTGCAGTACTCAGAAAAATAATATTCCAGTTATGTATGTTTTTAATTCACTGGGTGCTTTTGTATAATACCCTTCTTGGGAACTGATTGCTGGAAAAATACTTACTCCATAGTTTAAAGCTGCTGTTCAGCTTGGAGAATGAGCTTCTAAAATTTTGAAATTCTAAAATCTTTTTACCTGTAATTCTTCCAATCTTGTTTGTACCACTGATGTAACTACCAGCAAACCCTGAAACATGAGCTCCCAGGCTGTACCCAATTAGATGAACATCACTCCTGGAAAATTGAATGGATTCCTGGAAGGTAACAGCAGTTTGATTTAGATGCAGAAAATGCAACATGTAAACTAGTAAAATGCTTAACCACAAACAAGGAATACTGCGAGTTGTAACTCAAGAAATTTGTGTGTTGATGCTGAAGGTGAAACAAAGTGCTTGTATCACGCACCAGATTTCTTTGCTGGTTGAGTGTTATTCCTTGCCTCCTTTGTTTGCATCAGGAAAATGCCATCCATCTGGGCACTTGGACTTTTGTGATATGCTCAGGAAAACCATCGACTGAAATAGTAGAGGTTCTGTTACTGTTTGTTGGTAGTGATGCAAATGTGTGTAAGTGGTGACTCTGGCTCTCCTTCTTGCCTGTTCTTCCTAGATGGGAATGTTGTCTAGTAACTTCTAGCCCTGCCATTTCTGTTGAAAGCCCTTTAGGAGTATTGGCTGCAAATCTTTCTGCTCTGCTGCTTGTTTTCCTTCTGCCACAGGTCCCACCATAGTTAAATTGATGTATTCAAAAATTCATTGTGAGGTGCAGAGATAAAATTTCACTTCCAATTAGGTAGCTTGAATTATTACTGGAGATAGCCGAAATAAGAGTTACACAGGGTGCATAGTTTATATGTGTAATTTTCTTTCCAGTGTTTTGCCTTCTGCTTTTTCTAAAACAGTTCTGGAGACAAGCAATCCCTTGCAAACTCCTCTATAATGTTTCCATTTGGGTGGCTGCAGGTATAGCTAAACTGCTGTAAGGGACAGCCACTTGTTTGTACCTAGTGGGAGTTTTGATGAGTAGTCACTTCATTAGCATGGCTCCACACTCATTACTGCCCTTGATCATGTGTATCTGTCCTCTTAAATCTCCCTTTAAACTTTGGATCACCAAGCAATTATTTTAGACTAATCTTTGGGAAACAGAGGAAAAACAAACAAACAAAAAAAAACCAACAGACATGATGTCATGCTTGAACTCTGAGTTAAGGATAGATCACAGACCCATTTCGCTGAACTAGCCACTTGCAAATGATCATGTGCCTGCTTTGAAAGTACAGGACTCTTGCTCTGACTTTCTTTTACTGACTGAGTTCTGAACTTGAAATACTGTTGAGTAGTTTAACAGTTCAGAGAACTTCAGCTGTCTGCACAAGTGGGAATTGAAAAACTGAGTGAGCGTGAAATGATCTCACCTCTAAAGACACATGGAAGTATTCTGATAAAAAAGACCACTTGCTTTTTTTCTCTTACATGGTAAAGATTTCTATGAAACCATGTGAAAATGAATGGAAGAAAATTACAGGATATTAGAATTGATTGAAAAGAATAAGCATTAACCAGTTGGTATTTATATCTTACCTCCAGCCATTCCACAAAGTCTGCTATCTCCTGTCCTATGTAGCGTGTGTTCTGTACAGCAATGGGATAGTGCTGGTGAGCAAATGTAAGCCAATCTGCAATGATCACATTAAGTTGTTTATGCTGAGACTTCAGAGCCGCTGCCATTTTCCAAATCCAACTTTCTAAAATCCCATCCACCTGTTCAGATTAAAACAAACACACAAAAAAATTAAAGAGGTAATCTTAAGAGAAACCCGCGTCTACCAAGTATTTTGTATGAGAAGCTCAGGGAAATGTAAGCCGTAACATGAACCAGGAGGGCTAGTGCAGGTACCTAAGATTTTTGAGGCTGCCAGCATCTTTCATTGCCAAGAATCCTTGATTTTTGGTGGACAAAAAAATAAGAACATATATAAGTATTTTAGGATGTGATCTCTTATCGCTGAAATGATTACTGATTAAAGAGAGACAGAAGTGCCCCAAAAGTTTGATTTTTTTCAAGAGCAGCTATCCATGTAAATTTATACTGAAAGGAAAGGGAAACAAAGCTGCAATGCCACAGACCTGTGAATGTTTGCCTTTTATAGCCATTCCATTTTGAAATCTCTTTTATCCCTCTCCTTTCTGGCTCTTTTTTCAAGGACTGCATCACACTTTCTGTATTAGCATCTACAACTGCTCCCAATTTAATGGACCAGAATTACTACTTAATATTTCATATTTAGGATGAGCTAGTTGTTCCTAAATAACAGAACATCCTAATCTCTTCTGGCCAGAGAAGAGTTGACAGAGTTTGGAAGTCTAGGGTTTGGGTTTCCATTCATACTTCTCTGAGAGCATAATACTTCTGCACTATAAATGAATGTGAATCTTGAATATTGACAGCAGCAGCCTCAGATCCATAATTTCTCTTTTAGAAGAGCATAGATTTTGAACATCCTTGCATGCGGGAGTCTTAGCTAATGTAATCTAGGGCAACATTCCATCTTTGCTGTTCTGTGTTGTAAGAGTTATGTGTATAAGGGTGTTGCTCAAGGTTTCTCTGATTGTATGTTTGCAGTGGCAGAAGGAAGGTGTATTTTGCCTCTCGTTTGGTGATACTGATTCTATGAGAATCAGGTATCTGTTCAAATTAGATGACTTCTTATCCTGCCTTATCTTTTGTTTCTTTTTCAACAGAGAAGCTGATAAAATTTCACTGTAGCATAGAAATTCTATGCAATTGAGCAGGTTTTTTTTTTTTTTTTTTATGTTTTTCTCTTTTTTAATCATGTAATTGGAAGCAGTTCAGTGATAATTCACCGACTTTTCAACTGAAAAAAGCTTGTAGAGAAGTTCTCTCTGCAGGTGTACCTGTGAGAAAGATGTGAGCAGTTTGTGTGCAGTTCTTTTCAAGAAGCCTGTAAATACCTGGCAGCGAATGTACCAGAGGAATGAAACCTAATATTCAGTCCTCCAGAGGCATAGCTCTTTAATTCTGCTGCTTGTTCTAACTCTGCTGGCTTTAAACCAGGACTGAAACTAATTCCTGGCATGGGATTCCCATAGGAAAAATTGTTTCTCGAGCATTGCTTCAGAATCTCAGTGGAGAATTGCCACTTTTCATTTTTAGCTGTGATTGCCACCATCTTTGAGATCCTAGTTTTAATTCTGAAGTTGCTTTTGGCACTAGCGTAATGAGGAGGAAAGTATATCAAATCAGATGTATTAAATCAGATTGGATTAAAAATAAAATGTGTGTTCATACCGACCAGCCATGGACTATCATCACGAGAGGAAGAGAGGCATTGAAACCGCATTTGTCAAGAGTCTCCAACTGATTAAACAAAATCTGACATGCTCCTCCAGTTGTGTCTGTATAGAGTTGAAATTTGGTTTCTAAGCTTTGCTGATCTTTCTTTGTTCTAGAGTGCTGACTCTGTGATCCCAGTGCCTCTGAAATGAAATCCATAGTAAGTCATAATAGTATGGAATCTAAAACCTGAAGAAGTTACTATAAGACAGCTTATAAGACACAGCAAACTGTTAAGATCAAAACTCTATCTGTGTATAATTGTTACCTACTCCAGGTGGGCCTAAGCTCTGCATTTTGTATTAAAAAAAAAAATATATATATATATATAATTTCAAAGCTTGAGTTAATATAGATGTGCATCTGAATGCATCTATTTATGCAATAACAATTAATTTCTAGATGACATAATGAATGATTCTTTCTCCCTAAGAGGATTTGATGAAATATTCTGGTTGTAAAACTTAAAAAATTCTTTAGTTGAAGTAGCTTGGTACACATAGAGCAGCCTTTTCAGGAATGTCTATTAAGTGCCTGGGATGGTATCTGTTCTTAAGAAAGGAGTGGCAGAGTGAACTGTGGTCTCATCAACTTCATGAATTGAGAAGGAAAAAAACACTGAATATGGAGAGATTGCTGACAAATGGGGTATAATAAAATGGAAGCTTACAAAAAGCGCAGTGTGATAAGCAAGCGTGGTGTCTCTTTCTGATAAGACTTCAGACTTTTATGTTGTTTATCTTAAAATTATCCAGATAATAAATTTATTAAATATAGAATGAATGAGAATTAGAGGAAGAAATGTCAGGATGTGATGAACCAGACAGATGAGAGGCTACAGATCTTTGAGAAGGAAACTTCTACAGTGGGGAGGGTGTTCTCCCTGGGGATTATTTCTTGGCTAATTGTAGCGTAGTGCTTTAATGTAAGAAGCCATCAGGAAAGGTACAAAACTGAGAAACGTTGGAAGGCATTTGCTGATACTGCAGAGACCACAAAGTTAAACACTAACAGCTTGGAGGGCCTTGAAAATACGGCAGTAGAAGCAGGTAGAAATTTCAAATTATGAAGCACAAGGTCATACAGCTGATATGGATGGCTGTGTAACTAAAGCTCAGAAATTGGAAGCAACAAAAGGGTAAAAAGACAATGGTAATAAATAGCAAAACTGACCTAGTCATTGCTGTGATTTGGCTCTGAGAAAGGAAAATGTTACTCCAAGATGCATTAAAGTGGTGCCTTTGATACAAAGAAAGAATGTTCGTGCCAATAATACTTAATAATTTAGTAGCAGCAAAGGGAACAGTGTACATAGCTCTTATTACCACCTTCAGGTCATACCAATTCAAGCTGCAACAGTTGCTCAACAGCACCTTTGAAATGGTCACAGAGGAAGTCAGTGCCTTCAATGTAGGTCTGTGCTCACTGCAACTTCCATGCTCACAGAGGCTTTTGGAACGCATCTAAAATCATAACATATTCTTTTCCGTATTATATCTACAAATGCATCTTGATGCATTCTACAACAGTGTTCCATTTTTAGCACAAAGAGGAAAACAAAGATTATTTAACTTCTCTTCCATTACATGTGTGCTTTCTTTGGTTTATTCCTCATTTTCATGTTCTCCCAATGCCTGTTATAGTGCTGACACTTTGTTGCTCTATTGTTTGCACATATTTCAGAAAACAATCATGAATAGCTGTTTTCTTTATATATCCTCTGTGAGAATGTTTAGTGTTGTTTTTAACTTGCCAGTAAGTCTAAGAGAGGGAGTTAAAAATATAGTTTGAACTTTGTTGCTTTCAAATGTGAAAATTTCCAATGGAATCTATTGTATCATTAGAAAACTGCACCAAATTATTAATCCATGTAATGACTTGGAGAAGGAAATCGTATCTCAAAGTTTGGCACCTTACAACACTCTTGCTAAAAATGTCATGCTAGTGACTGAGAGACATGATCAAAGGGAACTGCAAAGTTTCATAGGCAAGCCTGCAAAAATTGCAAAACAAAACTGCTGAATATTTTCCAGTGCTCACTGCAGCTGAGTTTGGAAGATTTTTTGGCAAATTACCTCTTAGCCAGGTGAGTTGGTGGCCGACTTGTAGAATCATGGAATGGCTTGGGATGGAAGGGACCTTAAGATTGAACTTCCGTGCTGTGGGCAAGGCTGCCACCCACCAGCACGTCCAGGGATGAGGCAGCCACAGCTTCTCTAGGCCGCCTGTTCAGCACCTCACTACACTCTGAGTAAAAAATTTCCTCCTAATATCTAAACTGAATTTACCCTCTTTTACTTTAAAGCCTTTTCCCCTTGTCCTAACAAGCTATGGAAAAAGTTGGTCTCCCTCATTCTCTTCTTAGTTCAACATGAATCCTTCAGAGAGGCAGTACGATGTGGTCACGTTGGTCTGTATGCTAACATAAATTACCTTCATGCAGAACAGCATAAAAATGACATGAAATTTCATGACTTCTTGGTACCCTGGAGGAAGCTCATCCTTTCTTAATTTGTGTTAATGATGTGTCTATGCATCAGTAAGAGATGCAGTAAGACTGTTTTTGTAAATACCACTTAATCGTAGTATAGTAAAGTTTCATCATAATTGTTTTGATTTTAGTTTTGGCATATGAACCAAAACAACTATGACTTGCTTTGGTTGGTTGGTTGGTTTGCTGAGAAGTAAAACCAGAAGACTGATTCTGAGCTTAACAAAATCAACCATTTCTATCTTCTTGAATTTAAAAAATAAAAGGGAACATATTCGTTCTCCAATTAAAAAAAAAAAAATGAACTGAAGTGTATTAATCAATAAGCCTGTAAGGCAGTTGTGGCAAAGAGCAGGGAAACCAGATCACAAAGAAGCCAGCAATGATTCCATGCTCAGAATTCAGCTCATGATTCCAGGCTGATGCCACGTGCAGAACAGTGCATACAGTCTTGCTCTCCTCCCTTGAAAATGATGGAGAAGGATGCACCACCCACATCCACACAACTATTAAACTGCATACATTATTTATGGGGTAACAAATATGCTGTCCTCATCTAAAGTAAAGCACTTCTAAATGTGAATGTTTAAGTGCTACTTGTGCAATCCATAATTGCTAAATTGAAATTAGTACCTCAAGGGTTTCATCTGACCTAATCTGAATTCTATGAGCCCAAATACTGGGAAATCATTAGAACATTAATCTTTCCAGGAATACTTTGGGCTAACACATAATATGGATCTCAAATTGTTTCTATAATTAAATGCTGACAACAACAACAAAAATAAATCTCCATCTGTTACCTAATGCAAACTTTGATAGTTTCAAGTGATATTTAGAAGTAGGTAGATGTAGGGGAAGAAAATACTTGCGATATTTTTTAGTCACACACTTCATGTTCATTTGACCTTTTATTTTCTGCAGCCTTTCTTTCCAGTACTGTTTTCTCTCCCTTTGTGGAAGTGCTTGTTTGCAAATATGTGCATGACTAAATTTTTGGCCAGAGTTTCTGCCAAAATAATCAGACGCCTGATTTGGAGCTTGCATTTCCTTGATATTAAAGGCAAAAAGAAGAAATGGTCTCAAACTGCCTGGATGAAATATAGTCATACAACACTATCAGAGAAGATGGCAAATGAATAAAGACAAATGTGAAACAAAGTAGATTAGGACAGGAAATGTAAGAACTAAAAGTGATGTTATATGGAGATCTATAAAATCATACACTGGATGGAAGAAATAGAGAAGGAATCAGTTAGTTTCTTCTAGTACAAGATGTGGGGGTCGTTTTGATAGCAAAAGTTGAAGCAGTTCTCCGCAAGACGTGTACTGAGGAATTCCCTGCCAGCTGTGATGTAGCATTTATGGAAGGTCAGTTGGAACGTGGAAGTGTCTACGTAAGAGAAATCCACTGAGGATTACTAAATGGATTGACAATGCCATTTACTCAGAAGATCCTTGCGAAAGAATGGTGACTGTGACAGTGTATAGGGAAAGTGCTACATGTATATGTAAACTTTTCCTGCTCAGGAAGCATCATCTGTTGGTCACAGCAGCAAATGAATGAACTAGGTGAACCTTCAGTGTCATCCACTACAGCTGGTGTACTGTTTGATGTAGGATATGGCATTGTAGGATATGAAAGCATTTTCCTGTCCAGTTCCAGTAAAATCCAAGTCCTAAACCCAGAGAAAGTAGACAGGAGGATTCAAACTGCACGTGTATCTTGCTTATAACTTTATGGTTTGGAATATTTCCTTCAGTTTTATTTCTGAGGAACCAAGAAAAAAATCGCTATTACCTATATGCATCTTCCTTGCTGCTATTTCCTGTGTACTGACGCTATCATGAGAGGAGTAAACTGAGTAGTGGCGGGGGAATAGGCAGCTTAGCAAAAGATTATACATTTTTAGAGTTTTATTTTTAGGGAGCTGTACTGGAAGTGAGAGTTCATTTTCTGCTTATGGCCTTGCTTTTTTTGCTGTGTGATCCTGCAGTGAAATCACTTGTCTTGTGCCAACTTGCTATGTCAGAAATTCAGCATAATTTCTGGATCACAGCATTAGGTAGGACAAGGAGAAATGAAATGTGTACAGCATAAATGTGGAAAGATCAGGAAAAAATAATTAGGAGCTTGAAATAATTAGAAAATAGAGGCAACAGAATCTTTAAAATATTAGCAAAGAAAGACATTATAGAGTGAAACTCACAGGGCTGTGAGTCCAGATCAGTTTAGTATATCCTAGCTCCATTCCCTGCAAGGTGGAAAGCAGAGCAAGCTGCAGAGCCAGGCTGGGAGGTGCAGGCAATGTATTCATATGCACAACCAGTCTTGTCTGCACAGGAAAGTTGGTGAAATGTTATTTACTTCTGAATTTTTGGTATTAGCTACTCTCAGAAAGCACCCTCGTGAATATTTATGCTCGGCACCATTGTGATACTCTGAATAAGAAAAACGTCTGTTCTGGAGTTTGCAGAAAGGCAGTGGGAAATAAAGAGGGCAGTGGTGCATGGACAACGATTGAGAGTTGCGATGGAAAGGAAAGAAAGAGCAGAATTTGGATGAGTTTTAGCCTTAGGACAGAAGTAACAATCAGAAGGAGATGACACATCAACACTGGCAGCACGTTGGTTAAGCGAGAGAGTCTGCCC